ATGTGCGTGTTCGAAGATGAAATAGAGTAGAGTCACTGGCGAAATTTCGTTTAAAATTCTTTCGTTGCCGAAATTTCGTTTCGGAGAAAGAGAGTAGAGCTCCAGATCTTCTCTGTGGATTGCGTAGACAAAATGAGTTATGATCCACCATTCCCGTCCAGTATATATTGTAGGGGTTAACGACTGCAAGTGCAGCTGAGAGCGACGGCTTAACGTGCTTTCCGAAGCACAGACGAGCTCGGAATTATACAGTTTTGATATATTTATCTTTATATATATAATTCTTCTGTGAGTGTGTATGTCACTGAACTTCTCTTAAACGACTGACCCGATTTTGATGAAATTTTTTGTGTGTGTTCAAGGGGATCTGAGAATGGTTTAGATTCACAATTTTGTCCGCTGGACAACCCCTATTTTTTTAGGGCGGTACGAAGTTCGCTGGGTCAGCTAGTATATATATATATATATATTAACATTTCGTGGCACTAACATCTAATATATAAAATTCTCGTGTTGCGGTGTTTGTGGTTAAACTCCTCCGAAACGGCTTTCCCGATTTTCATGAAATTTTGTGTGCATATTGGGTAGGTCTGAGAATCGGACATCTATTTTTCATCCTCCTAAATGTAAAGATAATCCACCCAAAAAATTTTTTTTTCAATTTTAGATATTTTTTTTAATTTTTTTATGATACATCATACAAAAATACATACAACTCTAAATTTTCATCCTTCTACCACCAACCCCTATTTTTTTATGGCGGTACGAAGTACGCTGGGTTAGCTAATCTATATATGTAAAACTCAAAGGTGACTGACTGACATAGTGATCTATCAACGCACAGCCCAAACCACTGGACGGATCGGGCTGAAATTTGGCATGCAGGTAGATGTTATGACGTAGGCATCCGCTAAGAAAGGATTTTGATCAATTCTACCCCCAAAGGGATAAAATAGGGAATGAAAGTTTGTATGAAACTTTGTCAATTTTAAACCGATCGGGCTGAAACTTTGCATGCAGGTATAAGAAGAATCATAGATGAATGTCATTATGTATAATACAAGCCTGAGAACAAAAACTATAGTCTACACTTCAGCTCTACACCGAAGCGAAGCGAGGGCGGGCCTCTAGTTATAGTTATAAGTGGGATTGCTACCATGCACCTTGGTTTTTTTTGCGACTCCGATATTACGGCACTGTTCCGGTTAGAATATAAAACTTAAGATTTTGCTTTAAATAATTAAGTCCAAATTACTAATATAAAAACTTTATTGCTGAATTTATACGTACTGTACTGATAACTATTGATTTGGATGCACCTGTTGCCGACGACGTTTGATTGTGCACCAATAGGGATGATGGCTATTATTTTTTCTTCGTTTATCAGGTAGATTATCAAATTATTATTAAATATTTTCTTTTTGCACATAATATAAACATTGCAGAGATGTATTAATTTGAAAAGTCGCATGACGTCACGTTTTGGTGCAATTTTCGCTTAAAAGTGACGTCACGAGCCCCTACTCCCAAACTTTGACGCGCTATAACTTTGTCATTTTTTGGTTGATTGCCCAAAGAAAAAATACGTGTCCATTATTTTTTGATCATCTTACCGACGGACTTAATAGAATTTCGTTTACTGTACCCTGTCATCACCCCTATTTAATTGTGTTTATCTAAGTCAAAGACGGTTTTCGGTAACATGAAATTCACCGAACGGGCACTGTTGCAAGCGCCATTATCACGGAGTGACTAAAACAGGGTACAATCCCGCTAAGAACTATATTATAATATACATTTTTGGTCACCCATCCCATGGCGATGGCGCAGGTGGTTAGCGTTGATATTATGTCAATATATTGAAAATCTCTAAGACCCGTATTATAGAAAGATTCTCAGTGATTGATCTAGTCTTGAGCATAGTTAGAAAGGGATGTCGCTATATATAGCACATAGCGACATCCCTTTCTTGCTGTACTCAAGTAAATATCAACACTTAGGCCCTTATTATAGAAAGATTCTCAGTATAATGCGATTCAACTAAGAATAGGACCGACTGGGCGCCATATTGTGACGTTATAGCTGTCAATTCAAACCAAATAGGTAGAGTGAGCAAAAAAAAGTTTTTATTTAATAAAACAGTAACTAAGATTAAGTGAGAAAAAACATCAGATTTTTTTAATATTAATTTGATAACGATTTTTAATAATATTTCTTTAATAAGATCGTGTGAGAAAAAACATTTATCAGAATCTAGCTCTTCAATTCCGCTCATCTCTGCATTATCGCCGGAGTAGTTATGAATAATCATGCAGGTCACATACGAACATGCATCCTTTATGTAAACGAAAGTTTTAAATCGAGTTTCTGAACGCAACATAAAGTGACATTTGGTTGACGATTTAGGTTATCAACTATTCATAGCCAAAGCTCAATAAAAGAAAAAAAAATATCAACCAATATTAATTAACAATATTTGTTATTGTTTGTTTAAAAATGTTTGGTTTTTATTCTAGAATTAGCCGTGCTAAAAAAGTGTTCCGAGATTTTTTTTGCAAACCGTACTTTTCAAGCGACATTTGACAGATGGAGGTCATTGGCTTTCCTATTCTTATTTGAATCGCATTATAATGAATCTAGTCTTAAGCATAGATAGAAAGGGATGTCGCTATATACAGCACATAGCGACATCCCTTTCTAACTGCATCTACATTTAGTTGTCATTCTGTAATACGAGCCTTAAAGTCTTATTCAAACAGTAATTCTTCATATAACGGTTTGCAAATCCAATTTTTGTCTCTCTTATTACAAACCTTGTTCTGGCAATAATGCACACAGGTGTCGATTCTGGTATGATTCTCTAAACCTTAACTTGTGCTTGTCATTTTCTATACAGAATGAAAAGGAGAGACTGATGTTACATTTAGTTTTAAATTTTCGTGAATCATGCTTGTAATCGACACTAATAAAAAAAAAAGTTATCCAATTAGATTCAATCTTTCGCAAATTATTATTTTTGCGAATTTTCATAGCGGCGATTCATATTTATGTAAACAGATGAAAGAAGATAAAAGTGATCTCAATTTAACTAAAACTAGATTCAGTTCATACATACTGTCAAATTGACATTTTGTCATTTTGCTATTGGTTAAAGCTAGTTTTAATATATTATATATCATCATCATCATCAGCCTATTAATGCCCCCACTGCCGGGGCACAGGCCTTCCCTGTGGATGGAATAGGGAGATAAGGACATGACCCACCACGCGGGCTCAGTGCGGATAGGCGGGTGCTAACGACTGCAGATTCAGCCGGGACCAACGGCTTAACGTGGCTTCCGAAGCACTCAGGAACTCGAAATCTTATATATAAAATTCTCGTGTCACAATGTTAGTAACCATACTTCTCCGAAACGGCCTGACCGATTTTTATGAAATTTTATATGAATATTCCGTGGGGTCTGAGAATCGGCTACTATCTATTTTTCATACCCTTAAGTGATAATGGTTATCCACATGTAACGTACATATACCACGGTATATGCTCAATACCATGGTATATGCTCTAAGTCTGAAACCTACAATGCGCCTTCGCGCCAAAATTCAAACTATTGGTTATTGTAACGTAGTGTTCTCGTATGGGTTAGGAGGAATGTTATCCCAGGAAATTGATAGAACACTACGTTACACACCGCTAAAAATTTTTTTGGACAATATTTTTGAAGTTATACTTCTTTAGGCGCGTTATGAAAAAATTATGAGAGTGAAATTTTAAGATGCGCGCGCATCACTGTAACACAAAAAATTAACCGCACATTAAGAAAATCTACCAACAAAATAGAATCTCTATTTTGTGGGTGCTAACGACTGCATTGTGAAGGCCTATCAAAAGTATTTATTAATCTGGAACAACGAAACCAAAGCGCGATTCAGGAGACTGCAGCGCCATCTCTTGACCATTGGTGTAGTAGAACCAAAAACCACATCTTTATTTTTTGTAATAAAGTAACAAAAAGTATTTATTAATCTGGAACAACGGAACCAAAGCGCGATTCAGGAGACTACAGCGCCATCTCTTGACCATTGGTGTAGTAGAACCAAAACCACATCTTTATTTTTTGTAATAAAGTAACAGTTATATAGTTATAGTATTTATCCACATGTTTCTAGTTTCTATATTCGGATTACGTGTTTGAGTTTCATACAAGTGCAAATCACATATGTTCTAATAAATTATGTTCAGTAGCGATTTTAATTGAATATTTTGATTATTTATTTATTTTTTCAAATTAAAACTGAACTTTATTGACTGTGTCCTTTTCCAGACTTTTTATTAATTTATTGTAATTAATTATTTGCATGCAATTAAAAACTAATTTTAAACGATGCCAAAGAAGGATAACTTCTCACGCGCCTACATAAGTACACGCACCCATTTTTTTTTTTTTATAATGTGGTATTAAAAAATACATACTACCCTTTTCTCTTGTACCACCTGCCCCTATTTTTATGGCGGTACGAAGTTCGCTGGGTCAGCTAGTATAATATATATAAATCTTGATTTAGCAAAATTCCTGTAATCGGACCCTAAAACATTAGTCATAGTCATAGTCATTTATTCCTTAAACAATTTTCATCGTTTTGGAAATCACAAACAATTTACAATAAAATTATTAGATAAAATTAAAATTATAATCCATTTAAATATGATTAGCATAAAATTACAAAAAATCTTATATAATAACATTTCAAAGTCAATCAAACAATTTACAATTAAATTAATACTTCATGCAATATTGATAAAATTAAATATTATTAAAATGACAGCAAACAATTTGAAATAAATCGACTTTAATTTAAACATGTCAAAGAAATTTCATATTAGATTTAAATTTCTGTCATCTAAATATTCTTATATGGAATAGTAACACTTCTTCAACGCGAACATTTTAAGTTTGTCTTGGAATTTATATGGACTGTAATATTGAATCATTATATAGGTTGAAGACGGGGCAGTAGCAGGGCTAGTAGAACTAGGCTGGTCGCCGGGCCAGGCCAGGGCCGGACTGCGGGCCGTCAGGGACCCGGACGGGGCGCATCAATACCTCGTCAATGCTACCGAGAGGAGGGCTGAAGCCAGGAGGCTGCATAGGGAGGACAGGTGGGTATATAGGGGGGATAGGGAGAGGACGGGGCGCATCAATACCTCGTCAATGCTACCGAGAGGAGGGCTGAAGCCAGGAGGCTGCATAGGGAGGACAGGTGGGTATATAGGGGGGATAGGGAGAGGACGGGGCGCATCAATACCTCGTCAATGCTACCGAGAGGAGGGCTGAAGCCAGGAGGCTGCATAGGGAGGACAGGTGGGTATATAGGGGGGATAGGGAGAGGACGGGGCGCATCAATACCTCGTCAATGCTACCGAGAGGAGGGCTGAAGCCAGGAGGCTGCATAGGGAGGACAGGTGGGTATATAGGGGGGATAGGGAGAGGACGGGGCGCATCAATACCTCGTCAATGCTACCGAGAGGAGGGCTGAAGCCAGGAGGCTGCATAGGGAGGACAGGTGGGTATATAGGGGGGATAGGGAGAGGACGGGGCGCATCAATACCTCGTCAATGCTACCGAGAGGAGGGCTGAAGCCAGGAGACTGCATAGGGAGAACAGGTGGGTATATAGGAAGATAGGGAGAGGACGGGGCGCATCAATACCTCGTCAATGCTACCGAGAGGAGGGCTGAAGCCAGGAGGCTGCATAGGGAGAACAGGTGGGTATATAGGGGGGATAGGGAGAGGACGGGGAGCATCAATACCTCGTCAATGCTACCGAGAGGAGGGCTGAAGCCAGGAGACTGCATAGGGAGAACAGGTGGGTATATAGGGGGGATAGGGAGAGGACGGGGCGCATCAATACCTCGTCAATGCTACCGAGAGGAGGGCTGAAGCCAGGAGGCTGCATAGGGAGGACAGGTGGGTATATAGGGGGGATAGGGGGAGGACGGGGCGCATCAATACCTCGTCAATGCTACCGAGAGGAGGGCTGAAGCCAGGAGGCTGCATAGGGAGGACAGGTGGGTATATAGGGGGATAGGGGGAGGACGGGGCGCATCAATACCTCGTCAATGCTACCGAGAGGAGGGCTGAAGCCAGGAGACTGCATAGGGAGAACAGGTGGGTATATAGGGGGGATAGGGGGAGGACGGGGCGCGTCAATACCTCGTCAATGCTACCGAGAGGAGGGCTGAAGCCAGGAGGCTGCATAGGGAGAACAGGTGGGTATATAGGGGGGATAGGGGGAGGACGGGGCGCATCAATACCTCGTCAATGCTACCGAGAGGAGGGCTGAAGCCAGGAGACTGCATAGGGAGAACAGGTGAGGACAATGACCAAGGTGTAGGGACTAGTATCTATACTCTATTCAACTTCTTCGGAGACAAAATGACAAATGACGACCTCCGTGGCCGAGTGGTTTGTACGCCGGGTTTCATGGTGTCACCGACTCGAGAGGTCCCGGGTTCGAATCTCGGTGGGGGCAGATGTTTGTATGATGAATACGAGCATTTGTACTCCAGTCATGGATGTTTAATATGTATTTCTATAAAAATATCATTATATATGTACAGTATATGTATTCTATCCGTTACCCTAGTATCCCATAACACAAGCCTTACAGTGCTTACTTTGGGGCTAGGCTAATTGGTGTGAGTGTTGGACATATTTATTTATTTATTATTTAAAAGGTAAACAAGCCATTAAAATATTTTTCAGTAGGTCGAATTTTATACGCATAGTAAATTAAATTTAAAAAAATGTGACCTTAAAGAGACCTAAAACTTATAGCTTTTTCCAAACTTTTGAACGCATTAAAATGCTATTAAATTGAGGACTAGAAGTTAAATAGAAAACAAGAAGGAAGTGTTGAAATGTATAATTTTGTAATTAGTCTGGTTACACCGGCCATCTTTATTGTCGATAAAGCAGTTTTTGAAACATTGATTTATTTGTTTATTTTTTGTATTTATTGAAAGCTGAAAGGCTGAAGCCAGAAGACTGCATAGGGAGGACAGGTGGGTGGGTATATATGGGGTTAGGGGGAGATCATTTTGCAAGATTGTTTGGTTATTACGATGATGATTCATGCCAAAATACATTTATGTCTAATAATTCTCTATCTTTGATTTTTTCCAACCCAACGAATATTGAATATGAATGTGAAAACAGCCCTAACATTGCAAGTACGTTTCAGGCAACGTCGTCAGCTTGGGCTGTGCCTCGACGGTTCTGAAGTAAAGCAACAGTTTGTAGAGGCGCTCATCGGGATGGGGTTCTCCCGCAGACTGGCGACCCTGGCGCTCAGGAACTCCAACAATCACGTCTCTGATGCTGTCAGGCTTATACAGGAGCAACCCGAAATGGTAATGACGAAATTGTGTATATTAAAACATCTATATATATAAAAATGAAACCCGTTTTCTGTTGTCACGACATAACATGAAAACGGCTTGACCGATTTGGCTGATTTTTTTTTGTAGTTTTCTAATACTCTGTACAAGGTTCTTACGGAAAAAAATATAAAAAAAATCTCTCAGAAAGATTGAAAAATATAACATAACGAATGTCAACGTCATTCAATTTAAAACAAAAAATCTGTGGTAATCTGTGACAACACATCCATAACCGCGCTAACAATGAATAGGTACTCATACATAAGATAGGTCAGCTATGCAAAATAAAGTAGTGCATCAAAGCTACGCTAAGGCGGTACGAAGTTCGCCGGGTCAGCTAGTTTATTATATTTATAGAAAATTGACATTTTTGTTTCAATGAAATGAAATGAAATGAAATAAAAAGTCATTTATTCAGTCTAGACTGTTACAAGCACTTGTGAAGGTCAGAAGCTACGCCATCGGTTCGCAAATCTACGGCGGGAGACCTTGTACTGAGAAGAACCGGCAAGAAACTTAGCAAGGGCTGTTTTTTTCTCCCTGTATTTACAGAGATATATACAGAGTCGTCAAGTTGAAAAATGACTTCAGAGATACTTCTAAAGTCACCTTCCATTACATCATTTAGGATATAGATATATACAGTTACAATAATAATTTTATATTTAGTATATAGGAAGCGGCAATAGATAGATAGGTACCATATTATTGTTACAAAAACTGGCTATTAACCATCAAATAACAAATTACAAGAAACAATATGTCCATGCATTACGATCTTTTAGATAATCATTAACTTTGGTTAGTGGAAGCTCAATCAGATCTTGGGGAACTTTGTTAAACAATGCAATACTACAACCCAGAAATGAAACTCTTGATTTTTGGAGTCTGAAACTTGGAACTTTCATGGTCACTAACATTATAGCTATTAACGGGATTGTTACCATGTACCTTGTTTTTTATGAGTCTCCGATATTTCGGCACTGTTGCAAGAGCCATGATCACAGAGTAACTGAAGTAATTTCGGGTACATGTTATCGGTTTAACCTCTGACGTCATCTTTTACTGCGCTAGATACCCCTATCACTGGTGACATTCTCACTATTCACTCGCACTTGTTCCCGACACACAATACTCCTCTTCAGTGGACAGATTTAGTGCTATCCTATTGGTTAATATTCCCTCCGTTTCTCCGCTCCGCTCCAGTGGACAGACAAATCTCGGGTGTAAGGAAGAATAGAGTAGATACCTGCATATATTATTAATTTCATAAAATTTATATGAATACTAGCGGCCCGCCCTCGCTTCGCTTCGGTGTAGAGCTGAAGTGTAGACTACAGTTTTTGTTCTCAGGCTTGTGTTATACACAATGACATTCATCTTTGATTCTTCTTATACCTGCATGCAAAGTCTCAGCCCGATCGGTTTAAAATTGACAAAGTTTCACACAAACTTTCATTCCCTATTTTATCCCCTTGGGGGTAGAATTGATCAAAATCCTTTCTTAGCGGATGCCTACGTCATAACATCTACCTGCATGCCAAATTTCAGCCCGATCCGTCCAGTGGTTTGGGCTGTGCGTTGATAGATCACTATGTCAGTCAGTCACCTTTGAGTTTTATATATATAGATCTTATCTTCCCACCAGTTGGTGGATAGCGATGTGTCTTCGTCTGACAGCACGCAGAGTCCCAGATCCGATGAAACTGTGGTGGAACCCGATGAGAAGCTTATCCTTGAGGTAACTGTTTTTGTTTTCACAGAGCTCTTCGGCGTATTGACTCAATGATATTTAAATGAAATGAAATGAAATGTCATTTATTCAGTCTAGGCTGTTACAAGCACTTGTGAAGGTCAGAAGCTACGCCATCGGTTCGCAAAACTACGGCGGGAGACCTTGTACTGAGAAGAACCGGCAAGAAACTCAGCAAGGGCTGTTTTTTCTCCCTGTATTGTTATATACAGAGTCGTCAAGTTGAAAAATTACTTCAGAAATACGTCTGAAGTCACTTTCCATTACATCATCTAGAATATAAATATGTAGTTACAATTAATTTTATAGTTAACATTTTAAGTAGTATATAGGAAGCGGCATTAGATAGGTACAATATTACTGTTATGAAATACCCCACATACACTACGAGCGCTCAAAATGTGTCCCAATCAAGAAGTACTTGAACACCACTCAAGCACTTCTTGGTTCACAGTCACGCGCGGAAAAGTCAAGTTAGTAAATAAATAAATATTTCCAACACTCACACCAATTAGCCTAGCCCCAAAGTAAGCACTATAAGGCTTGTGTTATGGGATGCTAGGGTAACGGATAGAATACATATACTGTACATATATAAGTATATTTATATAGAAATACGTATTAAACGTCCATGACTGAAGTACAAATGCACGTTTTCATCACACAAACATCTGCCCCCACCGGGATTCGAACCCGGGACCTCTCGAGTCGGTGACACCATGAAACCCGGCGTACAAAACACTCTGCCAAGGAGGTCGTCATTTAATGAGTGATGTGCGCGAAAACCTAAGAAATCCAGTCATGGATGTTTAATGTGTATAAATATACTTTTGTACAGTATATGTATTCTATCCGTTACCCTAGTATCCCATAACACAAGCCTTACAGTGCTTACTTTGGGGCTAGGCTAATTGGTGTGAGTGTTGGAAATATTTTTTATTTATTATTTGGTCACGTGACCATGGAGCAAAAAAAATCCTTTCTATTTAATGGTTTTAAAGAAAAGTTATTTATTATTTGTTCTTTCAGAATAGTAAAATCGCTGCTAATCTTAATATATATAAATCTCGTGTCACAATGTTTGTCCTCAATGGACTCCTAAACCACTGAACCGATTATAATAAAATTCGCACACCATGTGCAGTTCGATCCAACTTGAGAGATAGGATAGTTTAAATCTCAAATTATGGTCGCAATTTTAATTTATTGCAAATTATTACTTTTGGGCGGTACCGAGTCAGCTAGTATTCATATAAAATAAAGATGCCAACAATTTCTACATTATTTTTCATACTGTCAAATAGTTTATTACCTGTAAAGATTTATTCATTTGTCATTGTGGGTTATCTACAATGCGAAGAGATGGCGCTGCCTTGCATTTTAGAAAGTCTATAAAGAATTCGTCATGGCCATCAGGGCCGCGGTAGCATAACGGCCAGTGCATTCGCCCGGATAGCGAAGGGTTGCGGTTCGAGTCCCGTGTGCCGCCTGGTCCGCGTGGAAATTTTTTCTAGTAATATTTCTTTATACTGTCAAATAACCTAGACTTTCTTACGTTGTAAGCGAACACAGTAGGGTATTTGACAGTATTAAAATAAAGTGCCATTTGTTAGCATCTGTGTTTAGAATGAATATTGGCAGGGGTTTTTACTATTTTTACAAAAAAAATCATAATTTTGCTAAAAACCCACGAAAAAGATAATAGTTTTCTTATCTATTGTCACGTGACCCAAACTGCTTGGGATTGGCGGCGCCTAAAATGACGTCACACGCAAGTAAACTTCTGGTTAAAGTGACATTACATTGTATCGTTTGACGTTTTGATAACAGTCGTGTGACGTCACACACTAGTAAGACGCCATATTGTCCAGAGAAACGTTTTCGCGGCAACTTGAAAATGGAGTTTTTGATTTGGTTATTATTACTGAAATATGCAACAGAATGATGAATATCCACTTTTTACGGACTCCATAAACATTAGTCAATAACGTGAGATCGTTTTCTAAAACTTGTCAAATACCCTATATTAACCGCAATAGGGATGATGACTATTTTTTTTTTCTTCGTTTATCAGGTAGATTATGAAAAAGTATTGGACACGTATTTTTTCTTTTTTCACATAATATAAACATTGCAGAGATATATTGATTTGAAAAGTCGCATGACGTCACGTTTGAGTACACTTTTAAGTGAAAATTCACTCAAAAGTGACGTCACGAGCCCCTACTCCCAAACTTTGACGCGCTATAACTTTGTCATTTTTTGGTTGATTGCCCAAAGAAAAAATATGTGTCCATTATTTTTCGATCATCTAACTGACGGACTAAATAAAATTGCGTTTACTGTACCCCGTCATCATGCCTATTGAAGCAATACATATAATAAAATACGATACGTTTCAGTTGTCAGCAATGGGCTATGAGCTGGAAGAAGCCAAGACCGCATTGAAATGGTCCCGGAACAGCCTGGAGGCCGCCGTTGACTTGCTGGTGGAGGGGGGAGGAAAGATGCAGGCAGGTAATGACGTCATTGCTCTGTACTTTTATTGCATACCTGTACAAATCCTATAGGTGTGAGCGTTCTAAAGACGAACCGGTTTCAAGGACCGTTTTGTGTTCCGCGACGATAGAACCGTTTTACGTTTCGGATCAAAACAGTCTTCGTCGAACAACTAGTCCTCGGATTGTCTGCACGCCAATATGTACTTTATGATATAGTAAATACAGTCTATAATAGAACGCAATGTTAAGAGGCCGTTTGGTTCTATGATAATTATGCTTTCATTTTACAATAATATAATTTTTATTATTGAACATTTATTAAAGTCGATTATCGTATAACACAACATTTATTTCGATTCGCAGCAACGAAACGAACGTTAACAAGATTTCATTTAGTTCAGTTTCGTTGCTTTACATTCGTTCGACGGTCGCGTGTCGTTTGCGAACGAGAACCGTTTCGAGTAGGACTTACAAGAGGCGGTACATTTGTCCCGGACATGACGGCAAAATGTAAGAGCGGCTCAAAATTTTAAAATGTACTACTTCACATTAAATGTCGCGATAGTCGCGTCTCGTTACTCACTCACTCTTCGTAAGTCTGAGAGAGAGTGAGGCCTGACATTTCATTTAAGTCCTCTACGCACTATCCATCTGTATCTCTATCTCTTTTACGTGTATAGCGCTTTCCTGCATGCTGGATCCAGCAAGATTGATAGTGCGTAGAAGACTTTTGTCGCGTAATTTACCATTTCGTTCGTTTGAATACGTTCAAAAACATTGACGTATTTTTTTTTAACTCAAATGCTTACGACACTAACTAATAATACTGACAATTTAAATTAAGGATACGATTATTTCAAATATAAAATAGTAATACAAAATAGTTCACAATCTGTTTCAATAATTTAGTAATGGCATTTATTATTTTTTCAGTGCCTTTTTATTATACATACTTTCAAATACCTATATTTGTTTAATTTCATATGCTTCAATAGACTTTTTAATATGTGATATGAATATATTAAGTATAGCAAACATAGCACAGTGTTTTATGGAACCAAAAAAATTTACATGTTCAGGTTCTTACATAAATAGATTATTTATACCCTAAAAAAGGCATGAGTTCAATTTACAGAAGTCTAACTCAAATACTTTTTGAGAAAAAAAATCATGAATTTATCGTGACCTTTGACCTATGAAGTCTAGAATATTTTTTTATAAAGTGAATATTAACAATATATTTTTTAAATAAATATGTGTCAATCGGGCATAATCAGAGGTGTATAAACGCGTTTCTTTAGCTTAAAAAAATGCATTGGTTTGGGAGCAGCAATTTTTTTTTGTATTTCGTATTTATTGTTTTTTCTCCCTAGAAACGAAAAAGTGGAACCTAGAACTTAGATAGAAATAAACCTACGGATGTGGTCTATCATACATAAATAAGCCACGTGTCACTTTTGCGGCGTTTAGAAGATATTAATTTTTAAATTTTTATGCTAGGGTTGACACCGAGTGTTTTATAGAACCAAAAATATTTACACCTTAAGGTTTTTGCATAAATCAATTATTTAAACCCTAATAAAGGCAAGAGTTCAATTCCCAGATCACTATTTTAAGTAAAAAAAAAGATATGAAGTAGCAAAGTTTTTGAAATTTGCGCATGAAAAAATTAACAATTTAATTTCCTCAAAAGACGGTTCCATATCTGTCCATGAGGTATTTGCCACTTGCTAAGGAATTATTGATGGCACAATTTTGTAATTTTATTTTATTTATAAGTGTCCTAGTTTCCAAGAAATATAGTTTTTTTAAATTTCGATTTTTAATTTTTTTCTCCAAAAATCGGCAAAAGTGGAACCTGGATTTAGTACAGAAAGGTTCTTTAAACCAAGTTCTATCACCCATAAAAAAATCAAGTTTCACTTTTGCGGTTTTAAGAAGTTATGACAGAATTTAGATAAAGGTCAACTTTCATGATCTAGGGTTGAAAAATATGTCCGTTTTTATAGTTGGCACCCGATGACAGTAACAGTTCATAAAATCCTCATGCACGGTGAAGAAATTATTGCGTCCAGTGCACTGCCCATCGGTATGCTATCTGAACAAGCAGCTGAGTCCCGAAATAAATTCTGGCGTTCAGACAGAGAGCATCATTGCCGAAAAATGAACAGGAGAACCACAATGACGGACCTCTTTCACCGTGCCCTAGAATCATCAGACCCGTTTATTTCTATGGCAAATATCAGCCAACGTCGAAAATATTCTAAGCGATTTCCCTTGCCTTCAGCTGTTTGCGAGCTCTTACAACCAATTAATGCAGATCGATTGCCGTTATTCGAAGCAGAGGAAGATGCTGAAGATGAAGATTTTTCGAACGTCGCAAATGAAAGCAACCTAGAATTATTAAACGACGATGATTTATTTGTATAAAAGTTAAAGTAGAGGTGTTGCATAAAGAAGGTGCCGGCAGGTGATGACACTATCCTAGATTGATTTTAAATGTGAATGAATTTCTAAATCCAAAATTTCATCACAATCCTTAGATCCGTTTCCGAGAAACCAATTACATACCAATATATTTATATAGGTACATACAATAATTGCTCGTTTATAGTATAGGATGTGTGTTAATTTTTTTCAAACAACATAGTTTATTTTTTCGTTGCCATTTAGCGTGTAAGACAAAATTAAAATGTGGTCGTCAAAATTAAAACATAAAGTATTCCTACATTATCACATCTACATTAGGTAGGTAGTATATGGTATAATTTATTCAATTGATTGACGGTATTAATAACAAAAAAAAAAAATATTTTCATTTAACTCATAGTTGACCTTTGTGACAACCCTAGATCATGAAAGTTGACCTTTATCTAAATTCTGTCATAACTTCTTAAAACCGCAAAAGTGAAACTTGATTTTTTTATGGGTGATAGAACTTGGCTTATAGAACCTTTCTGTACTAAATCCAGGTTCCACTTTTGTCGATTATTGGGGAAAAAAATTAAAAATCGAAATTAAAAAAAACTATATTTCTTGGAAACTAGGACACTTATAAATAAAATAAAATTACAAAATTATGCCATCAATAATTCCTTAGCAAGTGGCAAATATCTCATGGACAGATATGGAACCGTCTTTTGAGGAAATTAAAATGTTAATTTTTTCATGCGCAAATTTCAAAAACTTTGCTACTTCATATCTTTTTTTTTTACTTAAAATAGTGATCTGGGAATTGAACTCTTGCCTTTATTAGGGTTTAAATAATTGATTTATGCAAAAACCTTAATGTGTAAATATTTTTGGTTCTATAAAACACTGTGCATAGTTACAAGCCACAGCCGGTAAAAAAAAATCCTAATATTTTCTTTTGGAATAGTCCTGGTCGGGCATACACATTATATTTGTACAGTGTAGTAGTACCTATCTCTCTCTTATCTTAGTAGTCTGTGTTACAGTGCGACAAGGATCTTGTGGCGCATCGCATGACACAAACTGGAAATAATGCTGTCTCACTGTGTTTTCTATAATTAATTTCAGTACAACTCCCTCCTGTCGAAGTCATCCACACGCCAAATAATCCTTGTCACTCGCACTGGGTTGCGTTCAAAACCTACGCTCTAGGTGCAACAAATATCTAAGTTGACATTAGCTTCATACATTTTATGTCAAAATTTAAACGTCAGGGTAAAAGTTGCACTCAGAGCGTAGGTATTGAACTCAGCCTTACGCTCCAGGTGCTACTCGTGCACACAAACGTAATGTCGAGCTTCTGTACGCCTCAATGTAATATTTGTACTCGTCACTTCAAATGTGAAATGAAATGAAATGAAATGTCATTTATTCAGTCTAGGCTGTTACAAGCACTTGTGAAAGTCAAGAAGCTACGCCATCGGTTCGCAAAACTACGGCGGGAGACCTTGTACTGAGAAGAACCGGCAAGAAACTCAGCAAGGGCTGCTTTTTTCTCCCTGTATTGATATATACAGAGTCGTCAAGTTGAAAAATGACTTCAGACATACTTCTGAAGTCACCTTCCATTACATTATTTAGGGTATAGATATATAGTTACAACAAATTTTATATTTAGTATATATAGGAAGCGGCATTAGATAGGTACCATACTACTGTTACAAAACTGACTCATACCCATCAAATAAGAAATTACAAGAAACACTATGTCCATGCATTACGATCATTTAGATAATCATTAACTTTATAATAGCCCTTATTCATAAGAGTATTCTTAATCTGAGATTTAAATTTGGTTAGTGGAAGCTCAATCAGATCTTGGGGAACTTTGTTAAACAATGCAATACTACATCCCAGAAATGAACCTCTAGATTTTTGGAGTCTGAAACATGGAACGGCAAGCTTGTTCTTAAATCTTGTGTTTAAGTTATGGGTTTGACTTTTTTTTGCAAATGCGTCATAGTTTCTTCTTACATATATTATATTTTCATAGATGTATTGCGATGCCAGTGTTAAAATATTAATTTCTTTAAATTTTTCTCTAAGAGATTCTCTTGCCTTTAAATTATATATGGCGCGAACAGCTCTCTTTTGCAGTACGAAAATACTTTCTATATTAGCAGCTGAGCCCCACAACAAAAGGCCATATGACATAACGAATTGCCAAGCTTCAGTATGCCTCGCCTCATTTGAAGTGGGACATTGTACTGGCTCAGTATAAAAAAGAGGCTACTCTTACAAACTCTTTTTCAAGTCGTGTCCTACCCAACACCAGTTTCGAGGACTAGTTTTCGTTTAAGAGAAAACGGTTGCGTTTCGTCGTCAGAAAATTTGAGAACGACCCACCGCTAAAATCCTGAAAAAAAATATAAACCACCGTTAAAATTCAAAGGAGTAAATGTATTCAGAAAGAAATCTTAATTTCTAAGGCTTATATCTTAATTTTTATTATATTTATATTATTGCATGAAATTAATTATAAGGTACAAAAAAATAGAAATCGTTATGGATCAATTCTTATATATTATCGTTTTTATATACCTAGCGTTGCGGCGACAGATTCGTTATTTATAACAAACATATTATTGTTTTTATACAGGATTAGCGGTTACTCATATGCATTATGTAGATCAATCCTTTACAACATAGTTATCAAATGGCAGTTGAGCTCAAGGACTCCAAAGTATTTTTTGGTGCACGTTTCAGTCATTGCTATAATTTATCATTATGATTCGATCCTATAAATGACATAGCTAGCAATTTAGATCTTGTTTCTGTGTCTGATGTCCACAGTTGTAATGCCGAAGATTGCCAAGAACTGCTTAAATTTGATCAAATTAATTTAAATATCATTTCACAAAATATACGCAGTGTTTCCTCTAACCTTGACTCCTTCCTCGTACTTCTTAGTCAAATGAAAATGAATTATGATGTCATTGTACTAACTGAGTGTTGGCTGTCCAAAAATCTTTATATACCAACTATAGACGGTTTCTCCTTCCATAAATCTAGCAATCCTCATAATCAAAACGATGGAGTCATTGTATATATAAATAATGAAATTTCTAATGTTACTGTCTTTGAACCTCAATTTGAGGATGCTAGTTGCTTAATAGTGAAAATTGGTGAAGATATGGCAGTAATAGCCATCTATCGCCCTTGTGAATTTGTAAATACTTCGAACTTCATTCGATCATTAGAGAAAATACTGCATAGTTTGAGATCAGTTCAGCATATCATTCTTACGGGAGACATTAATATAGACATAGTCCCATCAAACACTAGTGAAAAAACATTAGAATATCTTAATCTCCTTGCAGCAAATGGAATGCTTCCATCCCACAACTTACCTACTCGAAATAATGCGTGTTTGGATCACTTTTGTATTAAAACTTCTTATCCAGCTACAACATTGATCATTAACTCCTCTGTAACTGACCACTACACTATACTCCTCACCCTAAAAAGTAAAAAACATGCCAGTACTACTAACACTCTGAACAAAATTAACCATAAAATGTTATCAGATGAGATCTCCAAATACGATTTTTCTGCGGTTCTTACTTCTTCTGATGCAAACGCAGCTGCTGAGACCTTGACTGATGCTCTGCGTGTTTTAATACAGAGAAATACTACCACCAAGTTCTTACCTAAACGTCAAAAACCTATAAAGGCCTGGATCACGCCTGGTCTATTAAGATGTATTAGAAATAGGGATCGCCTACACAAGAACTTTAAAAAAGCTCCTGGAAATGAAACGCTCAAATTAACTTACACCCGATATCGCAACTTCCTTGCCACCTTGATAAAAAAAGTCAAAAGGGCCCATTTCATGGATCTTTTGCGCAAGGCTGGAAAAAACAACAAACGTCTATGGGAGGTTATAAGAGATGTATCTTGCCTAAAAAATAGTTGTCTCTCGTCAGGTGTCCTGTTATCAGGTAGCTCTCCTCAACTGGCTCTTGATGAAACCAATAAATATTTCGTAAATGTAGGAACAAATTTTGCTACTAAATTTAACATTACCAACCCTAGAAATGCAACTTCATTACAATCTTTTCCCCGGTCAGCCTACTCATTTGTCTTGATCGACCCTGAAGAAGAGGAAATAAACCAAATCATATGTGGCTTAAAGACTGATTGTGCTGCAGGTTGGGATGGAATCTCCTCTCGTATCATTAAAAATAACAGTAATATTCTAGTTCCCTTATTAGCTCATATATTTAAACTTTCTATCTCACAGGGGATTTTCCCAAAAGTATTTAAAAGTGCTTTAGTACATCCAATATTTAAAGGAGTCGGGGACCGCACAAGAGTCGAGAACTACCGACCTATATCTATTCTTCCGACTTTGTCTAAGATATTTGAGCGCATCTTAAATAACCGTCTTATCAAATTTCTGGAAAATAAAAATCTTCTTAGTCAGAACCAATATGGTTTTCGAGCAGGGCGATCTACTTCTCAAGCTGTTCTTGAACTAACTTCCAAAATAATTGAAAACCTGGATAGGGGTAAGAAATGTCTTACAATATTCCTCGATGTGGCTAAAGCGTTTGATTCAGTTCCAATATCTATATTATTGCGCAAAATGGAAACACTTGGTATACGTGGTAATCAACTTAGCCTTTTTCAAGATTATTTAACAAATCGTAAACAGGCGGTCGTGATTGAAGGACAGAAAAGTTGTGAGTTCCAAATTGAATACGGAGTACCGCAAGGAAGCATTCTTGGTCCTACACTGTTTTTAATTTATGCGAATGATCTTTGCACCCTTAATATTCCAAATTGCTCTCTTCTTTCCTTTGCGGATGACACTGTTCTCTTCTTTTCTAGTGACTCTTGGCGTGATGTCTTTCTAAATGCACAATCTGGATTTGATATGGTTTGCGAATGGCTAAACAATAACCGTCTCACACTTAATGTTCAGAAGACCAAATATATCATTCACTCTATAAGAACGGTTGATCTGCCAAGTGAGGAATCTCTATCAATTACTGCACATACCTGTTGGGGTACAAACTCTTGCTGTTGTTCGTCCATCGAGCGAGTTAATGAAATTAAATATCTTGGAGTTTTGCTGGACAGCAATTTATCTTTTAAACTCCATATCAATGTCCTTGCTGCAAGAATTCGCAAACTGATCTATATTTTCAAGTCACTTAGGACAGTAACTGATTCATCACTCCTCAAATCCATTTACTTCTCTCTTTGTCAATCCTTGATTCTGTATTGCATTACATCCTGGGGTGGCGTTCCTAAGACAACTATACTCCCACTGGAGCGTGCCCAACGCGCAGTTCTAAAAGTAGCTACATTCAAGCCGTTTCTGTTTCCTACCGATGCCTTATACTCATTCTGCGAAGTTTTATCAGTACGTAAATTATTCATCTTATATACATTAATACACCAACATTCCAAACTACCTTTAGATCCTTATAAAGGAGAGGTTCGTCGCAACAAATTGATTTTCAAGAGTAAACTATTTAATAAATCTTTTAGCAAACGATTTCTACTTTTTCTAGGTCCTTTTATTTATAATAATGTAAACCGGAGGTTGAATATATATTCACTAAATTATTGTAATCTAAAACGCATACTCACTCAATTTCTTCTTGCACTGACTTATGAAGAAACTGAGAAGATGTTACTACACATGACTTGATTCCTTACTCGTCTTGCATGAAAATTATTTACAAAATAAAACTAAATGTTGGTTCTAATTCTTGTAAAAAAAGTTTTTTTTTGTTTGTTAATGTAACTTAAATTTTCGTTTTTCATTTAAAATCATATTTTCTAATCAATGTGGTATCTTGTAAATTTACTTTATTGTGTCACTGGAAGAGAGTGGGTACTTAAGTCACAGGGTTTTCCTATTTTAAGTACCCACAGATCCTTAGTTTTAAAATATCCTGTGCCTGTTATTTGTAAAACCATATTGTATAAAAAATTTGGGAATAAATTATTATTATTATTATTATTATATAATCAGCAAAAAATCTCAACATCGCCATTCAGACTTCACCTGTTCAGGCCTGTGCCCCAGTAGTGGGGGCTAATGATGAAGCGTCTATAGGCTATGGTGTCCGCTTACCATCAGGCGGGCCAAACTCTTGTTTGTCACCCTTTTTAACATAAAAAAAAATGTGTGTGTCAGCTCCGACGCACGAGTGGAGTTTACTCCTTAAGTTCGATAGTCTAACCAAACGCAAAAAGAGTTTATTTCTCTCTCATACCGGGCCCCTTATATATTCAAATCGATTCTTAAGGAGTAAACTCCAAAAACTCAAAATGTCAGCAAATTAATGTTTCCATTCATTTCCCAGAAGATCCAGCGAACCCGTCCACCAGTTCGGGAGCTGCAGCCAGAAAGAAACACAAGAAGCACAGGAGAGATAAAAAGTGAGCATTTTTGAAGTTATACTTCTTTAGGCGCGTTATGAAAAAATGATGAGAGTGAAATTTTTAGATGCGCGCGCATCACTGTAACACAAAAGTAACAGCATGAAGTTGGCCGCGGGCGCGTTATGAATGTTAGTGTCTAATAATGGTGGATTATTAACCACTTAGTGGTTAATAATCCACCATTATTAGACATCTGTTCGAAAGGTACTTTGAACGATCCACGGAGCTCCATAAGATGATCGCGTTGTCAAAAACAATGTTGGCACGCTCGTCGCCTCTGATCACTGTTTTCATATTTATAATATTTATCCACATGTTTCTAGTTTCTATATAGACACAACGTGTTTTAGTTACTTACAAGTGCTAATTACATATGGACTAATAACTTAAATTCAGTAGTGATTTTAATTGAATATTTTGAATATTTATTTAATTTTTCAAATTAAAACTGAACTTAATTGACTTTGTTAACTATCCTTTTCCAGTCCTTTTATTATTTTATTGTAATTATTAATTATTTGCATGCAATTAAAAAATATTTTTATAGATGCTAAAGAAGTATAACTTCTCACGCGCGTACATAAGTTACACGCATCCATTTTTTTTATAGATAGGTCCGACTAATGATAATGTTTGGCGGCTGCTAATGACTGCAGATGCAGCTGGAACCAACAGTTTAACGTGCCCTCCGAAGCACGAAGGAATTCGAGATAGAAGATTTTTGGTCACCCATCCATTGACCGACCACTGCGAAAGTTGCTTAACTTCAACGATCGCAGATCCATCTTCAATGGTATCCTACATGGTAGCAATCTCTATAATAAGTACAGTGATCAGGGCTTGTTTACCGGTTAATTTTCAAACCTAAATTAGTGTCAAGTACATTAGGAGCGTTTTATTTAGGTTTGGCTCTACCTTAACCTTAAAAAACCGGTTTTCCTAAAGAGCGAAATCAAATAGGTTTTGAATCAATTTAGCGGTTTTTAAAGGGTTTCATTTCGCTCTTTCTGACGGAATCGATAATAAATGAACAACTTGGACTCACTAGACGCTAGCAAACGTGTCAATAAATGCATCAATCTCTGAGCATTAACAAGTTGTGACTTGATTAGTTCAAACAAAACAAACTTCAAGCGATGCCGACGCGTGCACGCGTGGATTAAACCGGTTTACTAAGGTTTTAGGTACCGCTTTCATTTCGGACGCGCTCCGATCGAAACCTTTACTAAAAACCGGTATTAACCTTTATTTACCGGTTTCGAAAACAACCGGTATTTACCGGTATTTTCGAAACCGGTTTCAAGCCCTGCCAGTGATAGTGACCATGAAATACTAAAACAATTCATGCTTCGCATTCACATTTTACAGAAGGAAAGAGCGTCAGCAAGCATTGGACAGGCTGTCTTCAGCGATAAAAGCCGATGAGGACGACCATCTCGACACTTCGCTCGTGGAGGAGGAGCAGTTCCTGGCTCAGTACAAGTCGCTGCTTTAAACAGGTGCTAAACTCCACCTTATTATCATAACAATAACGTACAAAGTAGTGTTGGCTGTGTGTTTATATAACCTTTCGTAACTTAGACGGGTGCCATGACGTAATTTTTTCTCTGTAATTGAGTTCTTGTCGACATTCGACGCGTATCGAAGATCGAATTCAACTTCGTGATAAAGGTACAGTTTACCTTGTATTATGTACTACACGATATCGATAAAAATATGACAATATTACCAGTCCCTGTAGCGTGAGCACCACAATTTACATTATATCACGCTTTTTATCGCGTCTAACTGTCAAACTCCATAGTAATTTGACAATGTATAACTGCAAAATAAAAGTTGGCAAATGGCTGAAAGGTATGGATTGCGAAGAGACGGAGTGTTTAATAAATAATTAATTAGAACACTTTATTGTGTAATCAAATACAGCAGCATTTAGTTATTGTCGGTTTCTGTAGTTTTTATAACTAGTTTATATATCTATATAAGTAATCATGCAACCAATGTGCGTACACCTAAATCGGCTACAGTATTTACGTATATAGAGGGGACCCTGTTGCCTGTAATACAGGTTATCCTACCACTGGCAACAGAAGTCACCTTTAACAATATTTAAGCTCCAATGTGCCTCTTGTCACCAATCTTTGTATTATTAATTTAAAATATTGTAACTTGCTTTAAGTCAATAAACGTTTATTATTATATTATTATTTATTATAATGGAACGTGATAAAAACGAGCTATATATCATATCGCGCTGATCATGCTAGGGGGGCTGGTGTTCTTTGAGTAAAGTGTTTATAATACGAAGTTATATTATAAAATAAACAGGTGCTAAACTGCACCTTATTATCATAACAATAACGTACAAAGTAGTGTTGGCTGTGTGTTTATATAACCTTTCGTAACTTAGACTTGACGTAATTTTTTTGTCTGTAATCGAGATCTTGTCGACATTCGACGCGTATCGAAGATCGAATTCAACTTCGTGATAAAAAGGTACAGTTTACCTTATATTATGTACTCCACGATATCGATAAAAATATGACAATATTACCAGATGTTCTTTGAGTAATGTGTTTATAATACGAAGTTATATTATAAAATAATATGCTGTTTTTATCATCGACGGATGAAGAAGTGGTACTTGAGAAAATTTTACTAGAAAAAATCCACGCGGACCAGGCAGCAGACGGGAGTCGAGCCCGCACCCTTCGCTATAAGGGCGAATGCACTGACCATTATGCTACAGTATTAATCATTTAAAAGAAGAAATAGCAATTATAGTTTAAAAGCCAAAAAAATAAAATTATAATTGCTATTTCTTCTTTGAAATGTTTATTACTTGTAAAGGTATTAATTTGACATTGTGGGTTACCTACAATGCGAAGAGACTGGCGCTGCCTTGCAGCTTAAGATAGGCTAGAGAAAATTCTACACGGCCGTCAGGGCCGCGGTAGCTAATGGTCAGTGCATTCGCCCGGATAGCGAAGGGTGTGGGTTCGAGTCTCGTTAGCTGCCTGGTCCGCCGGCAAGTCTAGCAGTTAAATGCTTTAAAAAATGGAAGTGGTACTTAGGTACAAAAATGTTTAAGATTCATATGAGTTCTCGGAAGTGAAATATATTTTAATTACAATATTATCTTTTAGCTATTATAAACAATTAAGTGTCAAATATAAATGAAAGGCTCGATTTAATATAAATTTATTTATTTTAATGTATTCTTAATAAATTCATACTTCCTTGCATCTGTTGCTATTATATATACTTAGTATTAGATACTTACTCATTGAATAAATCCATCCAATGTATATTTTTTCAATAAATATATCTATTTTCTATATTGTTGTTTTATTGAATTAGTCTAGATTCTATTTTATATTATTAATTTTATATTAGCAAGTAAAATAAATAATTAAGGCGATTCAAATTATTAAAAAAAAACATCTTAGAGAAAACTTGTGTCATGTTAAATATTAAGTATTTTTTGTCATTTATATGAATAAAATTATATAATTTTATATAATTATATTACATTAGAATGGACGCAAAGGACATGGCTAAGAAACTGCCCTTAACTTGTATAAATATTTTATTTATTACGTGTTTATTATTCTCATACAACTTTCGTGAAATAATCAAATATATTTAAAAGTATAAAAATTGACTTCATGTCTGTTTAAAAAGCAAAATGTTCCGTTTTACAAAATAAATGAACAATAAATGTACACAAAAAATATTTGTGGAAGTATATCGAAATAAACAATATTATTTCTAAACTCCTTCAAACTATGACATATTTGGCCTTAATTTTTATCAAAACAAATCACTGAAGGCCTAAAATTACAGATTTTATTATTCTGATCAGGCTTGAGGCAAGGCTGTATGATAATTAATCCTTTAACTTTTGCAAATGAATAAAATAAAACTTCACTGATTTCCTGTCAGGCCGACGATAACAAACTAGTTGTATTTATTTTTGCTTTAATAACACTTTTTATGAATAGTTAATCAGAGAAATGGGAAGAAAGATTCTAAGAAAATGCGAAATTGATGACTCTGTAAATAATTGGCAACATCTTTTATCAACTGTAGACTTTCAAGATTGTGACTTTATCAAAAGTTCCTGAGCCTTTTTTCATAGAAATTATAAATATTCAGCCATTTACCATTCATCATCATCAGCCTATTAATGTCCCCACTGCTGGGGCACAAGCCTTCCCTATGAATGGAATAGGGAGATTGGGCCATGACCCATCACGCGTTCCCAGTGCGGATTGGTGGGCGTTAACGACTGCAGATGCAGCCGGGACCAACGGCTTAGCGTGCCTTCCGAAGCACGGAGGAGCTCGAGATATTAAATTTTTGGTCACCCATCCAATGACCGACCACTGCGAAAGTTGCTTAACTTCAACGATCGCAGCCGAACGCGCTAACCACTTGCGCCATCGAGCTCCCATTAAATATTACTTATTATAGTATTTATACATTGCCAGGGCAGTCGCTCATACAAAACTTTACCATGTCCTTTAAATTGTCTTGTGTTGTTGTTCGTTAGACCAACAACATCGTTTATCGTAATATTTTAATGTATCTAATATGTATTTCTGAGTTATATTAGCCACCTTCAAATTTAAAGAAAATATAACTAGAAAAAAAAAATCCACGCGGACCAGGCAGCAGACGGGACTCGAACCCGCACCCTTCGCAATCCGGCCGAATGCACTGACCAATTATGCTACCGCGGCCATCACGGACCACGTCGAATTTCTTCTAGCCATTCTTAAGCTGCATGGCAGCGCCATCTCTTCGCATTATAGTTAACCCACAATGTCAAATGAATACTTTTACAAGTATTAAACATTTGAAAGAAGAAATAGCAATTACAGTTATAATTTTTATTATTTCAAAGCATGTAACATTTGAAAATGCAGCTTAAGAATGGCTAGAAGAATTTCGACGTGGTCCGTGATGGCCGCGGTAGCATAATTGGTTAGTGCATTCGCCCGGATTGCGAAGGGTGCGGGTTCGAGTCCCGTCTGCTGCCTGGTCCGCGTGGAATTTTTTCTAGTTATATTTTCTTTAGATTTAAACATCAAGCAGTTACATGCTTTAAAATAATAAAAATTACACCTTTAAATATTCACTAAAGATTGTCTTTGGAATTGTTTATCCTTAATACAAACTGTAACAGTATGGGGTGGGACTGAATAACTGTACCCCTAACACGAACCATTATCGAATTCGAATAGTTTGCAAACCGAAATGTCAATGTCAAATTTTGTATGGAAACTTGAACAGCAGCGGCACAAAGTACGTAACGAGAACTAAAAATCAGTACACATTTTACAATGACATTTCGGACTCGCAAACGATACGAATTCGATATTGGTTCGTGCTAGGGGTACTGGTGTAAGTTAAATGTAATATAAGATATGTGATTTTTAATTTTTAGCAGTGAACTTTATTTATTTTATCCGACATTTCTACCATATTTGGAGGTGACGTCAGTATGAATATATATAGCTACTAGCTGACCCAGCGAACTTCGTACCGCCCTAAAAAAATAGGGGTTGTCCAGCGGACAAAATTGTGAATCTAAACCATTCTCAGATCCCCTTGAACACACACAAAAAATTTCATCAAAATCGGTCCAGTCGTTTAAGAGAAGTTCAGTGACATACACACTTACAGAAGAATTATATATATAAAGATAGTATGATGCGGTTGGATACAACACTAATTTTACTGTCCCAAAGCTCACTTTATCGAACACTAAGATCATGACATCATTCTTTGATATCAAATTAAGGCTATCGATATTACTCTATTTCAAAGTATCGATAGGATATAATAGGGTATTTGACAAGTTTTAGAAAAGGATCTCACGTTATTGACTAATGTTTATGGAGTCCGTTATTCCCGGATATTCATCATTCTGTTGTGTATTTCAGTGAAAATAACCAAATCAAAAACTCCGTTTTCAAGTTGCCGTGAAAATCTTTCTCTGGACAATATGGCGTCTTACTAGTGTGTGACGTCACACGACCGTTATTAAAACGTCAAACAATACAATGTAATGTCACTTTAACCGGAAGTTTACTTGCGTGTGACGTCATTTTAGGCTCTGCCAATCCCAGGCGTTTTGGGTCACGTGACAACAGATAAGAAAACTATTATCTTATTCGTTAGTTTTTCGAAAAAAAAAATTGTGTGTGTCTGCTCCGACGCACGACCGGAGTTTACACTCTAAAAACGATTGTCTTTGAACAGACACAAAACAAAATCAAGTCCGAAGAAGTCGGTTACAAGTAGAGATACCTCAGGAATCGTTCCATGGTTTCGACTATCATAGGTTCCATGTCACACATTTTATCATCTAACATCAGCGATATTCATCATATATTTTATTATGTATTTCTGGAAACACACAATTTCAAAAATATCACACACTAGTCATCATTTTGTAAATATGTATTATAATTCCATCTGTACTGAAAATCACTATTCCAGATTGGTGGACACTTACCGGCATTTCTCTATATTCTGTTATTTATTTGTTTTCATTAATTTTGCTCCGATTTTATCTATTTTTAGTTTATTTATTTTATTGACATTTGTGACTACTTAAAGTTTTTTATCCGTTGCCATGGCTAAAAGTGAAAGGTGCGCAGATGAGGTTGCGCACAAAGACGTAACGAGGTCATTAATGTCATTCATCGATAGATTTTACTCCTCACATTTTTCTCATACCGGGCACCTTATGTACGCAAATCGATTCTTAAGGAGTAAACTCCAAATATATGAATATTTATTTTGTAAAAATATTAAAAACCCCTGCCAATATTCATTCTAAACACAGATGTTAACAATTGACACTTTATTTTTAACACTGTCAAATACCCTATTTTACATGCAACATTAATCTTTAGATCTATAGCTCTTACAAAAGTCACTTTTCCGTCACGAACTCAAAGAAGACAACGTCATTCTTTATATACTCGAATTTGTCCAAGCTAGTGTGCGGTATGAAAATGTACTGCCGTTTCAATTGTAGCACTGTTTTGTCCAATGTTTCCGTGGACCGCGCCCGGTCTAAAGTTTCCGTGGATCGCGATTTCTCTCCCTCCTGGTCTACGGAGTCGTAGTCGTGCCGCTTGGATGATGATTTGCGTCTCAATTGGAGAGACTTTACGATGTCCATAGCCTGTTGAATGTAGAAAAATGATTATAAAAAAACCTTTTGTTCTACGATTATTTAATGTCGCACGGTAAAACTAGTAAAACGGGTCGTGTGACGGACTATAGAATAGAATAGAATATAATTTGATTAACCCAGATATTACACATTACAGATATAAATAAAAAAAAAATCCTCAGGGCTAACCAGGACCCTGCCTCAGCATTAGCTGATGCGACATTGGTTGCTTTCCAATTACAGCATTATAGCGCATTATGCGGCATAATGCTTAACGTTGAGTGTTCCAACTACAGCAACGCTTCGCACAATTGAGCACTCTCAAAAGTGATGCTTTCGTGTGATGCGTGCAATGGTACCAACTTAGAGACAGAAAATTAACAAATGTTTTTTCTTTAAGTTGGCATTGATCGAAATGTTTTATTTATATGTTAACGTTAGTAATATTATGTATTGTTGAAAAATTATTAAAGCTTTCGTTTCATTAAATAGTTTTTTTTTAAATAATCAAAGCTCATTCAAACTGTTAAAAAATAAATATAAGTATGGATGAAGGTACAAACATTGACTTTTTTTTTCAACACTGAACTTAGCGCACTCTGCTGGTGCATTTGAAAACTAATTCACGTTCCAATTAAGCATCAGCATAATTGGGCATTGTGCGGCACTGAGTCGCATTATGCTCTGTAATTGGAAAGCATACATTGTGTCGCACCAGCGCTGTTATTCTGGCAGGGCCTGTTTAGTGACACAAAAAAAAGACATGTTAAAAATAAAATTTTATTACTTGAAAGGATGTATGGACTTAACATCCTTTGCTTTCAAGTAACAAAAAATTAAGATAAAAAAAGTCAATCAAAAAACACAACACTATAACAGCAAGCAAAGCAATGCGAAACAAAGCGAAGCAATTCATTTCAGCCTAAAAAAATCATTTAAATTCAAAATATACATGATTGATAACGCAACCGCAACCGCCACCCAAAAATAGCAGTTACTCATAATAGCAATAAGCATAAGTTATGTACTGTTAGGGTACGGCCAGAGTGCACTCAGATTCAGACTCAGATTCAGATTTCGAAAACAAGCGCGAGAAATAAACAGTGTAGTCTAAGCAGGTTGCCTGCTTTTTCTCGCGCTTTGTTTTCTGAGTCTGAATCTGAATCTGAATCAGGAGTGCAATCTGGCCGTACCCTTCGACTACACTGTTTATTTCTCGCGCTTGTTTTCGAAATCTGAATCTGAGTGCACTCTGGCCGCACCCTTATTCAGAAACAGGACACACTAGTGTCAAAAAGTATGAGGTCAAATCATGCTACGGACAATTTGCATCAAAGCTGTGAATCAGCTGCTGTGAGGGTAAAACTGTACTTCCAGGGCCCAAAAGGTGATACTTGTTTTTTTTTGTAGAAAAGGTCTTTATAACAGATTTTTTTTCTTCAGGTCACAACACTAACCTAACCTAACCTAGTGTGAAGTATCATCACTTGATAATAAAAGTAAAAATTTTCAATATTTTTTTCTAAAAAACTACCAGTGCATAAGTGTGACATTTTTTTTAATAATGTGGTTAACAGAAACCTTTTTAACAACAAAAATGCGAAATTACAACCAACAAAACTGTGATATACTATAATACACAAGAGTTCCTTAGTGACACTTCCTTGAAAAAAATGGACATAATTACGTAATTAACTTATATTTTAGTCTATTATAGCACAATTTATTATTATTGTTAGTTTGACATATTGCTTAGTAATTTTGACATTTAATTCTATCTATGACTTGTTTTATTGTAATTGTAATTTATTAATATGGATTTTTATATAATTGTAAACCTAATTATTTCATAAAAAATATTGTATACCTTGTAATAAGGTCGAAATGTAGTGACACTAAACTTTTATCCTAACACCAATTTGCTGTACTAACCTACATTTCACAATAAAGCATTTGAATTTGAATTTGAATTTGAAGTTTTTACTTTTGGTCCCTGGAGGTACAGTATATCCGCTGTGAGCTATACGCGCAGTGCACGTGGTTTGACGACCCAAAAAGCGATTAATCATCATCATCAGCCTATTAATGTCCCCACCCACTATGCGGGCCCAGTGCGGATTAGCGGGTGCTTTTTGATCACCCATCCAATGAAAGACCACTGCGAAAGTTGCTTAATTTCAGCAATCGCAGCCGAACGCGCTATCCACCCGCACCATCGAGCTCCTCAAAAAGCGATACTATCAATATTTATTTCTTTTTCTTTCACAGTAAGCTAGTTGGAATAGATTACTCTAGTATACAAAACATCTTATTTATCCTTGTTCATGCGAGAAATTGCTTGATTATGGTAATGTCGGATGGTGTGTTTCATATCATAGTTAAATGACAATGACAGATTCTGACCCACCATATACAGTAATGTTAAATTTATGAAAAAATATATGCGATTTTTTTTCTCGTACTGATTTAATTATTACTTTGTAAAAGCGGCGGATACGAAATAAATATTAAAATAATTTGTATCTACTGTTTCCGTTAGGAGAAGAACGAAAACATGGCATCTGCGTTTTGTTTCACGACAGACAATAAAATACCAGTCGAGTTTTCGCAAAATATCATTCTATTTTGAATATTATGGATAAAATAAGCATTTCGGTTATAAATATAATTAATTTATGTTTATAAAAAAGTTTAACGATTATAGTATCTTGTATTTTTAATGTGCATACACATTATTAAGTGGTAGTAAATATGTGAAACTAAACGTTACTCTGGATTGATATCCTTTTGATTGACATTTCCGTCAAACAAAAGGATTTGTACGACATTGTCGTTTGTGATTTGGAACCATGTTGAGATGCATAAATTGTTATTTATGTGTCGATAGAATACAAAGGCATGTCGTTTAAACACTATCAGCTACAATGCGAACACTGTTGAATAATAATTTATAGAAATTCCAATTTTCTGCTCAAATTGCAGCTCGAGAAACGCATGATAATTGTACTCTTTGTCAGTATATTATTCAATAACCACAGCTTCTAGAGAATTTACAACTTTACTATTTTGATTCCTAATATTATTAGCTATGAAAAGTCATTTATCGCATTCGTGTACACCATTTTTATCGGGTGGGTTAAACCTCTATAGAACTTCTGGCATTGTCCTTTGCAAGCGCCAAGTGAAAATTTGAAACAATAAATAATACCGGGGTTTCTATCGGCGGGCTGGTCCTTCAGTCCTATAGTGATGCTTATGGCACATTGCGACTCCAGTACGCGTCCCTTCGAATTGGGGGTCTAACTCTACTCTCTTTCTCCTTAACGAACTTTCGATAACGAAATTCAAACGAAATTTAAATTCGTCACATTGAGGTTATACTTAATTTGGAAACGGCGGGTTGTTGGAGCGCAGAGGCCAAGCAATTTGTGTGGGACCTGGGCCGCCGACTCAGGCAAAAAACTAATGACCCTCGCTCCGGGTCGTTTCTGGCACAAAGATTGTCTATTGCCATCCAGCGTGGCAATGCTGCAAGCATAATGGGCACCTTTGCGCCAGAAACGATACGGGGTGATATTTGAATATTATTAGTATTTGTATATTATTCTTGTACATAATGTTAATTTTAGTTATCTTAATATATATAAATCTCGTGTCACAATGTTTGTCCTCAATGGACTCCTAAACCACTGAACCGATTATAATGAAATTCGCACACTATGTGCAGTTCGATCCAACTTGAGAGATAGGATAGTTTAAATCTCAAATTATAGTCGCAATTTTAATTTATTGCAAATTATTACTTTTGGGCGGTACGAAGTTCGCCGAGTCAGCTAGTTATATTATATTTTTAAGGTTTTTAGTTTTAGGTTCATTGTTACAACTTTATGCAATTAGAATGTATAATTAATAAATCAACAAATAGTAAATGAAAAAAAAAAAAAAAAAAGTTAATTGAATTATTCTCTTAAAAAAGAAAGTGTATTGTTTAATGTACATAAACAGTTGTTTGTATAAAATATATATTTGTGCAATAAAGTAATTGAAGACTAGGTATTATTCATAATATAATAACATATAGTAACCATATGTATAAAAGTATGATAATTACTAATATTGATTGTATGTTAGTCATTTAATTTTGATAACAATAAAAGGATTTGAATGATAAACTATCAAAGGAGACCCGGCACTTTTCATAGAAAAAATGCTAAACTTGTATACAGTTGAATTTGGTCTCAAAATAAAGCCAAAATTATTTGCTACATAAAACTACTTTTGCCTTATTTTTAGTGAATCTTGGAAAGAAGTTATATAATGATTAATATTTTTTGATATGGAAACCCTAAATCTTCAAGGGACAGAATTTTGCCTCAAAATATTACTGAAGTGACTGTACAAACCATGATTCCTTTGCTTTTTCTAAATAAAAAACCAAATGTCAATTTGACAATCCTAAAATACAAACAAAAAATCATTCGCATTTCGCATCCGCTCCCGCGTACTGTGATTGTGAATGTTCTCTGCTGTGATTGCCTTTTTATCTGTTATTTCTCTTGACGACCCGGCTACATATAGAGGTGATATTGACAAACCTACGTATTTGACATTGACAGCTAGCTGCTGATGACAAATATTGCCAGACTGCGTTACCCAATTATGAAACACAGATAAAAAAAATAAAAAAGTATACAACTTTGGCACAAAATGCCGGGTGTCCCTTAAGCTTTCTATGAATAGGCTTATAAAATCTACACCTCAGTCTATATTCCGACGACAAATATTATTATAATCAAAAACGAACCAGTAACATTGTAAGGAAATTGCGATGTTTCGATCGAAATTTCGTTTTTCGTTGAATTAGGGTAGCCTCCTGATTATACGTCATATGGAGACCTTTCCATTGGCAATTTCGATTTATCTCTAAAAAAGATTGAAGAAAATATAACTAGAAAAAAAATCCACGCGGACCAGGCAGCAGACGGGACTCGAACCCGCACCCTTCGCAATCCGGGCGAATGCACTGACCAATTATGCTACCGCGGCCCTCACGCCCGCGTCGAAATTCTTCTAGCCCTTCTTAAGCTGCTAGGCAGCGCCATCTCTTCGCATTATAGTTAACCCACAATGTCAAATGAATACTTTTACAAGTATTAAACATTTGAAAGAAGAAATAGCAATTATAGTTATAATTTTTATCATTTTAAAGCATGTAACTGCTTGATTAGAAAAAAATCCACGCGGACCAGGCAGCAGACGGGACTCGAACTCGCACCCTTCGCAATCCGGGTGAATGCACTGACCAATTGTGCGGGTTCGAGTCCCGTCTGCTGCCTGGTCCGCGTGGATTTTTTTCTAATCAAGCAGTTACATGCTTTAAAATGATAAAAATTATATCTAAAAAGATTGTCGAAATTTTAGGAAGGCCAAAGGCTCAAAATCTTCAAATCTCAAAATTGGTAGCCCGGCGGCCGCGGCCCGACTGATGTTGGTCGGGCATTGTATATATGGAGTGTTTTGTATGGAGTGTATATGTGCCTCCGAATTTCTCTTGCGCGATGTAGGCTTCCATACGTTGTGAGCGCGGCACCGGTAGCGCCATCTCTTGGGGAGGTGAATGGTTATTTCCTTCATGTCGGTTATATGCTTAGATTAAAACAAAAAGGGTAGATACGGCACTAGCCTCATAAAAGTGATCCGCATGAATTGTGGTCCACGACCCTACTCGCTTTAGTCACAACTTGACATGCAAACGACGTACATGTAAACACCAAAAAGAAATATTGCTAATATTTTGTGTTTATATGACAAAACAACGCCTAAGTGTGTTTTTAAAAAGTGCTCAAATTGCTCAAGAACTGAAAATAAAACCCACGGCATCACTTTTCATTCGTAAGTATTATAAAATATATTTTTTCATAAAAAATGCTGTTTGTTTTGAATATTATTCGGTAGTGACGTCGAGTACTGGTCGCGTGATTGGTCGGTAGTGCAGTGACGCGGATCTCGCCGTCTCGTTCGCGCTGCCGTTGAAACTTAACGTGCTGTTTCGTTCGGGTCGGTAATGCAGTGACGCGGATCTCGCCGTCCCGTTCGCGCTGCCGTGGGATCAGTTTTTGTTTGATGCAAGTATGAGCGTACCGTATCTACCCTTTTTATTTTAATCTAAGGTTATATGTGGGGCATGTAGATATCGCCGCCCGCCACAAAATGATGCTCAAAATTTGAATCTTGATTGAGATAAGTTTAAAATAATACTGGCCTGGTTTCTATTGGCTGGCTGGTCCTTCAGTGCTATGGTGATGCTTATGTCACAGGGCCACTCCAGTAATGCGTCGTGCGGCGAACTAATTGTACGCACGGTGCAAGTCATATGGCGACCTTTCCATTTGCCTATACCGTTCAGTTGAAGTTCGGCCTGAAAAGAAATGTTGTTTATTACAAGTGATAAAATAGGCTACTGTTGACAGTATGCAAAAATAAAGTACCTACCAATAGGGTATTTGACAGTATTAAAAATAAAGTGCCAATTGTTAGCATCTGTGTTTAGAATGAATATTGGAAGGGGTTTTTACTATTTTTACGAAAAAAAATATTTATAATTTTACTAAAAACCCACGAAAAAGATAATAGTTTTCTTATCTATTGCCACGTGACCCAAAACGCTAGGGATTGGCGGAGCCTAAAATGACGTCACACGCAAGTAAACTTCCGGTTAAAGTGACATTGCATTGTATCGTTTGACTAAAACATCATAACAGTCGTGTGACGTCACACACTAGTTAGACGCCATATTGTCTAGAGAAGCGATTTCGCGGCAACTTGAAAATGGAGTTTTGATTTGGTTATTTTTGCTGAAATACACAACAGAATGATGAATTTTTACGGACTCCATAAACATTAGTCAATAACGTCAGATCGTTTTCTAAAACTTGTCAAATACCCTAGTGTTGGCTGTATTTAATATAAATATTAGCAGCGATTTCACTATTCTAAAACAACAATGATTAGTAACTATTGTAAAAAATCATTTAATAGAAATGATATGATGAGGGTAGACCGATATGTCTGCCAATAACATCTACCCGCAATTACTTCAGTTACTCCGTGATCATGGCGCTTGCAACAGTGCAGAAATATCGGAGACTCATAAAAAACAAGGTACATGGTAACAATCCCGTTAATAGCTATAATGTAAGTGACCATGAAAGTTTAAAACAATATAATGTTTTTTTTGTTCTATGGTCACGTGACCGAAACGCCTGGGATTGGTGAAAGGCTAAAATGACGTCACACGCTAGTAAACTTCCGGTCAAAGTGACATTACATTGTATTGTTTGACGTTTTAATGACAGTCGTGACGTCACGTACTAGTTAAGAGAATGTTGAATATGAGACGCCAGTGTCCAGAGGAACGTTTTCGCGCCAACATGAAAATCCAATTTTTGATTATAATTTTTTTTACTGAAAGACAAATTTATGAATATCGATTTTCTTATGGACTCCATAAACATTAGTAAATAATGTGAGATCATTTTCTAAAACAAGTCAAATACACTATTAATTTGTAACTTAATATTGGGCGTTTTATATCATTGTTTTTTATATCTATTAACGGGATTGTTACCATGTACCATGTTTTTTATGAGTCTCCGATATTTCTGCACTGTTGCAAGCGCCATGATCACGGAGTAACTGAAGTAATTGCGGGTAGATGTTATTGGCAGACATATCGGTTTACCCTCTGACGTCGTCTTTTACTGCGTTCGATACCCCTACCACTGGTGACATTCTCACTATTCACTCACATTTGTTCTCACAGTATCAGATCGCGGAACGGCATTTTTTTGATTTTTGCGGTTTTTACACATACGAACCACTGGATTCCACACACTAGACAATTTAAATCCATCCTCACGATTGAAATTCTCGTGTTTGGAATCTTCTATTGAAAATCATGGCGCTTGCAACAGTGCCGAAATATCGGAGACTCATAAAAAACAAGGTACATGGTAACAATCCCGTTAATAGCTATAATGTTAGTGACAATGAAAGTTTAAAACAATATATTGTTTTTTAAATATACTTATATGCATTTATATTTCTATCCGTTAATTTAGTATCTCATTCACAACATTACCCTTACAGTAGTTTCGTTGGGGCTAGGCTAATAAATAGTGTGATGGCGACACATGGCTATTCGTATTTAGGTAGGTACTATGTGCTAACTTGCCAACAGACTGTCCTTGTCATGCTTAATAAGGAACGAAAAGGACAGACTGTTGTCAAGTTTACAAACACCAAACACGAATAGCAAAGAAAAGTGCCGGCATGAAGATTAAAAAAAACATCCATTATTGTAAATCTAAAGATAAGTTTACTAGAAAAAAATCCACCGGACCAGGCAACAGACGGGACTCGAACCCGCACTCTCTGCTGCCTGGTCCGCGTGGATTTTTTTCTAGTAAACTTTTCTTTAGACTTAAATCATCTAGCAGTTAAATGCTTAAAAAAATAAAAACATATCCATTATTATATAAATAAATATTTCTGACACTCACACCAATTAGCCTAGCCCCAAAGTAAGCACTATAAGGCTTGTGTTATGGGATGCTAGGGTAACGGTTAGAATACATATACAGTACATAAATACGTATATTTATATAGAAATACATATTAAACATCCATGACTGGAGTACAAATGCTCGTATTCATCACACAAACATCTGCCTCCACCGGGATTCGAACCCGGGACCTCTCGAGTCGGCGACACAATGAAACCCGGCGTACAAACCACTCGACCAAGGAGGTCGTATTGTTTTAAGCTTCGCAACGTTTAACTTACCTTTAAAGTGTATCCGTATTTACTGGTGCGGAATAGAGGGCTGCTCAATACAGTGTCGTTATCCTTTGCCTCCTTCATACGGGATGTGAAGTTGTCTATTCGCCATATAAGGTGTCCTGAATATTTTAATAATAATTAATATTGCACTGCCTATATAATGGCGTAGCGTTTGACTTTCACAAGAGCTTGTGAGCTTGTAACAGCCTAGTCTGAATAAATGAGTTTGAGTATTTAATAATTTATATATTATATTATATTATATATATATATATATATATATATATATATATATATATATATATATATATATATATATATATATATATATATGTGTATAAATACTAGCTGACCCAGCGAACTTCGTACCGCCATAAAAAAATAGGGGTTGGTGGTAGAAAGTTGAAAATTTAGGGATGTATGTATTTTTGTATGATGTATCATAAAAGAATTTAAAAAAAATATATAGGTACATATATATATCTAAAATTGAAAAAAAAAAATTAAGGGGTGCATTACCCTTAACATTTAGGGGGATGAAAAATAGATTACATCCGATTCTCAGACCTACTGATTATGCATATAAAATTTTGAGTTATACCCTCTTATTAATAAATGAAGACTAAGCTTGGATTAGTTACTCCATGTTATGTCTCTGTTCATTGAATGACATTTGAGTGATATGAACAAAACACGGCGTAACCAGTCTGAGCTTACTCCTCGTTTATTAATACGGGGTTAAGTGTTAAGGTTTCGAAATAAAAAAAACTGTATAAACTGTAACTGTATCTTTAATGGAGAACTTTTAAACTAAAGAAAATATAACTAGAAAAAATTCCACGCGGACCAGGCAGCAGACGGGACTCGAACCCGCACCCTTAGCAATCCGGGCGAATGCACTGACCAATTATGCTACCGCCGCCCTGACGGCCGCGTCGAAATTCTTCTAGCCATTGTTAAGCTGCAAGGCAGCGCTATTTCTTCACATTGTATGTAACCCAGAATGTCAAATGAATACTTTTACAAGTATTAAACATTTGAAAGAAGAAATAGTTATTATAATTATAATTTTTATGTAACTAAATGGAATTTCGACGCGGCCGTCAGGGCCGCGGTAGCATAATTGGACGTAGTTACGCGAAAACGTTCCAACCCACAAGTCACTCGAAAATGAGTTACCATAACCAGGGTACTATTTTTGACATATTACATCATGTGCACACAAAGATGCTAGTATTTTTAGGTTAGTTTCATCAATAAAGTTTAACCCAAATGTTCCAACCCACCATTATGCCAAGGACGTGTACTCAAAATAAAGTAAAAACATTACATGCATACTGAAACATATTGTTAAAAACTCTTAATAGAATAACATATCGTTATAATGTTCCACTTGTCTTGGAACATTATACTAAATTCATAAAACGCACATTTAATGGTTTCTTAAATGATCCATGTGGGTTGGAACGTTTTTGCAAAATCTTTATACATTTTTTATTTCTGCAAAAATGTTCCATGTAATTTGAAACCTTTTAGATTAATCCATACTGTTTTTTTAAGCTGCGAACACTGTTCTAAATAAATTGAAACCTTTTATTATAATATATTATTTTCTAATTTTTTGCTATAAACAATCCACATATACTTGATCCATTTTTGCTATTAAGTATGTTCTAGAGAAAAAGATATTTTTTACCAAAATAAATAACTATGGTATATTTGGACGTAGTAACGAGAAAATGATCCAACCCACAGCAACCCCAATTTGAGATAAACGCAATTTACACACTTTTTCCCTGTAATTATTTCAGGCAAATACTATTGGTTTAACTATGGAATGCCAAACTGATTATTGAATGATATGCATATTTTTTGTAAATACATAATACAAGGGGCATATAAATAGGTAAAACGAGTTTGAAATGTTTTTGCTAAATTAATTTTGTATGAACCTTGTTAAATAGCAATTATGCATAAACTTTCCAAAACGAATTTAAGTGTATTATTTTATAAAAATAAACCAAAAAGAAATATGTAAAATAATAAATAACAATGAGGAACATACAAAAACAACAAAAAAAATATTTGAAAATGTATTACAAAAAAATAGAACGTGATCTTTTGAGTTTAGAACCTATGCCAAAAATTTGCTGATATGGTTCCAAAAGTTATCAAAAACTTATATTATAAACATTCAATTTTCATCATCGTATTCTATGATCTCGAAGTCCGGAACTCCACCAAACCCATCAACATCATCAGTGCTTCTTCAGAACTTTGAAGCGTTCTATAAAATTGAAGGCAATCCTCGGGTATGTAGTGGTACATGGATTGTAAGTCCACTAATTTCGCTGGAGCAATCGGTTTGTCGTTAGGCCACAATAAGCAAAAATCAGATTCTTTTATGTATTGTAGTTCTCGTTTTATTCTTTTATCAATTTTCAACTCATTGAAATCGTCTTCCATCGTAGACCGCATAAAAATAGAAAAAATTATATCTTTATCCAACTTAATTTCTTTTGTATGTAGCCAACTAACTTTAGATGAGTCTGTAAACTTCTTCCTATTGATAATCTTCTTTTCCAGTTTAGTTGTACTATAAAATCAGTCTTTGTCATTTTGTAAACTTGAAGAGGTTTAACTTTTTTACTTAGTTCTACAATAGTGGTATCCATAGTGCATCTAATGATACTGGGCATTGTTATGTATTGGTAGAAGGAGAGGTAGGAAGAGGTGCACAGGAAGTGGATTGCCTTCTGTTCTGAAGAAGCACTGATGATGTTGATGGGTTTGGTGGAGTTCCGGACTTCGAGATCATAGAATACGATGATGAAAATTGAATGTTTATAATATAAGTTTTTGATAACTTTTGGAACCATATCAGCAAATTGGCATAGGTTCAAAGCTCAAAAGATCACGTTCTATTTTTTTTGTAATACATTTTCAAATTTTTGTTGTTTTTGTATGTTCCTCATTGTTATTTATTATTTTACATATTTATTTTAGATATATTTATAAAATAATACACTTAAATTCGTTCTGGAACGTTTATGCATAATTGCTATTTAACAAGGTTCATACAAAATTAAATTTAGCGAAAACGTTTCAAACTCGTTTTACCTATTTATATGCCCCTTGTATTATGTATTTACAAAAAATATGCATATCATTCAATAACCAATTTGGCATTCCACAGTAACACCAATAGTATTTGCCTGAAATAATTACAGGGAAAAAGTGTACCGCTAAAACACAAAATTGCGTTTATCTCAAAATGGGGTCGCTGTGGGTTGGAACGTTTTCGCGTAACTACGTCCAATTGGTCAGTGCATTCGCCCGGATTGCTAAGGGTGCGGGTTCGAGTCCCGTCTGCTGCCTGATCCACGTGGATTTTTTTCTAGTTATATTTTCTTAGATTTAAACATCAAGCAGTTACATGCTTAAAAAAAATCGGTGCGTGTACTTATGTAGGCGCGTGAGAAGTTATCCTTCTTTGGCATCGTTTAAAATTAGTTTTTAATTGCATGCAAATAATTAATTACAATAAATTAATAAAAAGCCTGGAAAAGGACACAGTCAATTAAGTTCAGTTTTAATTTTAAAAAATAAATAAATAATCAAAATATTCAATTAAAATCGCTACTGAATATAATTTATTAGAACATATGTGATTTGCACTTGTATGAAACTCAAACACGTATTCCGAATATACAAACTAGAAACATGTGGATAAATATTATAAATATGAATACCTATAACTGTTACTTTATTACAAAAAATAAAGATGTGGTTTTTGGTTCTACTACACCAATGGTCAAGAGATGGCGCTGTAGTCTCCTGAATCGCGCTTTGGTTCCGTTGTTCCAGATTAATAAATACTTTTGATAGGCCTTCACAATGCAGTCGTTAGCACCCACTAAATAGAGATTCTATTTCTATTTTGTTGGTAGATTTTCTTAATGTGCGGTAAACACAAAAGTAACAGCATGAAGTTGGTCGCTAAAGCTAAAGCGACCAACTTCATGCTGTTAAAATTTTTTGTTAAACTAATTTTAAACTTCAATAAAAAATAGAACTTCATTAAATGCAGGTGAACAATTAATGTATATTTCACATGATGTAATGAAAGGCGACTCCATGAATCATCTCTGAAGACATTTTTTAACTTGACGACTCTGTAAATTACAAACAGGGAGAAAAAAAACAGCCCTTGCTAAGTTTCTTGCCGGTTCTTCTCAGTACAAGGTCTCCCGCCGTAGATTTACGAACCGATAACGTAGCTGCTAGACATTCATGAGTACTTGTAACAGCCTAAACTGAATAAATAATTATGATTATAGTACTTTAGTCACGGTAATATTATCTATACAGTATTGTGACTCGGCCCTGTCCTTGAAATAACTGCCTACGGCCGAGCGGGGCGTATCCACGCGGTAGGCCTGACTGCCTACAGTATTTTAATTTCATCTACTTTATTGAGTTTCTTTCTAATTTTCTAAAAAAACGTGTTATTTTTAGGTAATATTTAAGAAAAAAAATGTATAGATTTGAGACAGAAAAATATTTACGCCTCGACTGAGACGTACGACAAGCTTTATTATAAATTTAATAGTATAATAAATACGCATTCGTATAAAAAGTTTAATTAAAAATACTTTAGGGATACATATGGTTATATATACCTGCAGCTACTTTACAATTGATATGTTTTTTTTAATGATGTCCGGAATATTTCCTCCAGTTTTTCTACATATTCCATGAAGTCATTACTAGGTACTATTAAAAAAATTGTGTGTGTCAGCTCCGACGCACGACTGGAGTTTACTCCTTAAGCTCGATAGTCTAACCAGACGCAAAAAGAGTTTATTTAACTGAAAAAAGATTGATACTGTATGAAAGGATAAATTAACAAATTAATGAAAATAATATACATATATAAATATATATTTATTCATTTCATATACACTTATTATAACTAATCGACGAAATATTTTACATTAAACTTTTTACAATAATCAATTTCAGATGTGCATAAATATATCATTAGGAATGTTGATAAATTATGTAATTATTATTATCAGACTATTATCAGTTTTTTTAAATATTTATTAAATCAACATTGTCTGCATTATTAATTACAGTGACAAGTGGTTTATGGTAACTAAAATAAGACACATGGACGTTCGTAGATACGTGGTTCACGAATCTTGAAAATACCGCATCAATGGTTGTACTATACCTCGTTGTCCCCATTGCTCTATCAGAAACAATATCTAAATTCAGTTCAGATTTTAAAAAAAATATTAATGTCAATCCGTCATCTTTGTTTGTCAAAGTTGCGCGACATAGGTTGCGCACCAAAAACGTAACGAGGTCATTCATCGATAGATTTTACTCCTCACATTTTTCTCATACCGGGCCCCTTATATATGCAAATCGATTCTTAAGGAGTAAACTCCAAAAAGTTTGTAAATTATCCTTACTATAGTGTAGGTATCTACTTAATTCAATCAAATATTCACAATACAAATCGCACGTTTGAGCACGGCTAACTGTATAAAAAACAATTCACACCGTTCGGTCGTCGCTGCGGCGCATTCGCGACTGGGTGCCCACCGAGAATCGCGCGAACTCGAGTGGCGTAGGTATGACCTTAGATTAAAACAAAAAGGGTAGATACGATACGCTCATACTTGCATCAAACAAAAATTGATCCCACTTTACTACATATGCAACACTCACACATCCACCTGTTTGTAAAGATACAATCGAACGAACGAAACATCAATTTAAGTTTCAACGGCAGCGCGAACGAAACGGCGAGATCCGCGTCACTGCACTACCGACCAATCACGCGACCAGTACTCGACGTCACTACCGAATAATATTCAAAACAAACAGCAATTTTTATGAAAAAATATATTTTATAGTACTTACGAATGAAAAGTGATGCCGTGGGTTTTATTTTTAGTTCGTGAGCAATTTTTAAAAACACACTTAGGCATTGTTTTATCATATAAACACAAAATATTAGCAATATTTCTTTTTGGCGTTCACATGTACGTCGTTTGCATGTCAAGTTGTGACTAAAGCGATTGTGGTCTTGGGCCACAATTTATGCGGACCACTTTTGTGAGGCTAGTGCCGTATCTACCCTTTTTGTTTTAATCTAAGGGTATGACACGCTTTCCGACCGTTTGTATGAAGATAGAATACTGTATAAATAATATTACCGTGCTTTAGTATTCGTACCGTCATCGCTGCCGATCTCGTTGGCTTGGAAGCTGACCCTGGCTTGGAAGTCTGCTAGCTCGCCTCGTAGTTTCAGATAAGACTTGGTGAGGGCTCGCAGATCCCGTGTGATCACGTCCATACGGGCCGCGTGTTCAGATGCCTCGGCGCGAACGTCTGCCGTGGCTACTTCCAGCACCGATATCCGGTCTATACCCTGAATTAGAAAGAAAGAAAGAATAACATTTATTGACGACATACATTAACAATTACAATAAACTAGCAAACCAGTGAACCAAATGTTCACCAAAACCTGATTTAAATATATATATATATATATTTAATTAATTGAGAACTTAGGAGATTTTGTGTGGTTTCGTTTGAAATTCGTGATTTCTCGAAAACCGGAAGTGCTACGTTACTCAAATCCGGTTTGTGTAGTCTTATCAGACTATTCTTAACTTATAACTTAAATATTCTCATTATAGTAATATAAGTTATTTACGGGATTGTTACCATGTACCTTGTTTTTAGCGAGTTTCCGATATTTCGGCACTCTTGCAAACTCGCTAAAAACAAGGTACATGGTAACAATCCCGTAAATAACTTATATTACTATAATGTTAGTGACCATGAAAGTTTAAAACAATATATTAAATATTCTCTTTATCTATCTCTTACGGTTTGGCCGCTGAAACAGCACCACAGACAGACAGACGGACGGACTTGTCTAATAGATAAGAGATACACAACAAACATAAAACAAAAGGTACATCGTCAACTAGGCCCCACCTCAGCATAATGTTGCAACGGCTAAAATGGATTGCCGCTACAACGCTGATATTCTGGAGGGACCTAATTTGGATATCCACGGACGGAAATACAAGACAATCACTTAATACCAAAAACAAAACAATCTGGACCTCGCATCCCTCGCCCATAGCAGTCCAGCACAAAACAAAAAATGAAAAATAATAATAACACAAGAGGCTGTGTGGGCTCGGCTCTTTGCCTATGAAAATTTGGATACACCAAAATAAGAGAGAGAAAAAAAAAAGACAAAACCATAACCTAAGAAAATTTGTAAGAAATAAATAAGAACAAAATGGAGATAAGATGACACGTAATAAAAGCCACGTCATCGGACCATTTAACAACGTGGCACAGCATCATAAAATCACCCTACACCACGGTAATATTATCTATACAGTATTGTGACTCCGCCCTGTCCTTGATATAAATGCCTACGGCCGAGCGCTGCGTTGGCACGCGGTAGGGCCGCCCGCCCACAGTATTTTATGTAGTTTTGATTTTAACGCGAATGTAGGTAGATTTCTCGTTTGTCTCTTTTTTCATCCTAACCACTTATTTATATATTATTCCAGATATTTTGCCCGATGGAAAAACCGAAATACCTAAACATTAGAAACAAATTACGTACTAGTAGATAGGTATATAAAAAATATTCTATAAAGGTAAGACACCTTTCTAGTATTTCAGGTAATTTAAAAAATGATATCTCTGGGTGTGTTATTGAAGAGTTCAAGCAACCAAAAACAGCAATTGTTATTGATCGTCGTTTGTTCTTTTCCATACTAAATTATGTAGGTATCTACTTAATTAAATCAAATATTTACAATACAAAACGCACGTTTAAGCACGGCTAACTGCATAAAAACAATTCAGACCGTTCTGTCGTCGTTGCGGCGCGGCGGCGCATTCGCGACTGGGTGCCCGCCGAGAGCACATCGAACTCGAGTGGCGTAGGTATGACTCGCTTTCCGACCGTTTGTATGAAGATAGAATACTGTATGATATTATTACCGTGCCTACACTGTCTATTATAAATAAGGCCGAGAAAGACACTGTACGATCGGCAATATTTACGAGACAATTTTACAATCCGTGGCCCGAAAAACCGTTCGCAGAATGCCGGAGCGTCTTCACCGACAAAGATTGATCACCGCGAACAGTGGCGGCGCTAGACCACATGTGGACGTCGGCGACATCAAGTTCGCGAGGCCTATTTTACTTCGCAGTAAAAAACCGTTAACGTATGAGTAAACGAGTTTTATTGTCGATAATCAAATGATGGCAAAAAATAATTACAAACATAGAAATTTAATTACAAAAATAATGTTGCCAGACAGACGATTCTGAATACCTGTAAAGTACTACTCGCTTCCATCACGCACGTGTTCGAAAATAATAAGTCATTATCATTTGCTTAGCTTATCCCCGAATTGTTCGGGGTCGGCTACCTAAGCCAGGCCAGGAGAAACGAAAATAAATAGGTAACTTCTAAAAAATATTTGCGAGGCCCTCTCAGGCGCGAGGCCGTCGGCGGTGGCCGACGTCGCCGACGCCTAGCGCCGCCACTGACCGCGAATATCCAGAAAGTGAATTGAACATTTATCATCATCAGTTTATTAATGAGAGAGAGACAGGTCTTCCCTAAGGATCGAATAAGGACATCCATAGATAGGGCTTGGTTAAGGCCCGCGGATCCCATGAGATCACATTCATACGGGTCACGTGATTCCCTTATCACGATCCAATATCGAATTCGAATAGTTTGCGAATACGATATGTTACTGTCAAAGGACATCGACGAAATCGGCCCTAGCATGCCCAAAAGAATGTCCTTCACTATTATTTATATATTATTTTTTTAACTTATTAGCAATTAATCATTGTAAACGGACAATCTGTTTAAGAAAATAAAAAATTAAAGTTCTGTTACTAGATACTACAGTCTGTTCATCCAACTTGGCACTCCTTTTTATTGAAAATACAGCATTAAAAATCAACTGATAACTAGATGCAATAGGTTTCAGTCTATAATAACGATTTATTTTAATAGTTTATTGGCTTTGTTAATATTTTATTTTTAAATGGGTGATTCTGTTAAAAAGTTGTGTCAAGATTGTTTACCTTAATGAATGCAATATAGGCGACCATAGGTATTTATCAACATAAAAATAGAACTAGGTACCTTAGTCAATAATAGTTATTACTAGTATTTATATTATATTTATAAAAAGATTATTTCTGAAATTATGTAAATATAGTTTATACTCCCATCCCATGTAATATCTGTTTATTTTTATGAAAATCATATTGATAACCAGGTACATACCTAATTACCGATAGTAAAATATAGAAACAGGTAAATGGAAAGACTGAACATTTCATTTGAAAAGAAATCTATTATTACCTACTACAGGTAGGTATAGGTATCATAGGTGCCAACTGACAACACTCATAAATCAATATGAATATAAGCATTTATTATTTTTATTATTAATTGCATTTTATGTTCATTTAATGCATATTATTTCAGTGCTTACATAGAGGTAAAAACTAAATCTATTCAGAATATATAAAGTGTACATCTTTTACGATTAAGTATAATATTTATAACCTCAAAATCTAATACATTCTGTAGTAGGCCACTGTTCCTCACGTTGTCCGTATCTTAACAAATGCTTAATTAGAGTTTATGAATGATTCCGAACACAACTAGCATTTTCTCATTGCTGGGCGTTATAGGGCATTCAATGCATGGGGAACGAGCAATGTCCTTTGTACTGATATTTAGTTCTCGTCGCGTCCATTGTGGCGCTGCTGTTCAAGTTTCCATACAAAATTTGACAATGACATTTCGTACTCGTAAACTAAACGAATTCGGTATTGATTCGTGCTAGGGGTACAGACGCCTAGGCGCCAGATTTTAGGAAGGAGGGAACACGTGCGCGCGCAAAGAATTCCACTTACGAATAGTACGACAAAGAAATGAGTCACCAAATATCTCCTAGGTCGGACGTCTATTAGTAGACTTCGTAAAGTTGAATGGTGATCGGAAATAATAATAATAAATATTTCCGACACTCACACCAATTAGCCTAGCCCCAAAGTAAGCACTATAAGGCTTGTGTTATGGGATGCTAGGCTAACTGATAGAATACATATACTGTACATATCTTTATATATATAATTCTTCTGTGAGTGTGTATGTCACTGAACTTCTCTTAAACGACTGGACCGATTTTGATGAAATTTTTGTGTGTGTTCAAGGGGATCTGAGAATGGTTTAGATTCACAATTTTGTCCGCTGGACAACCCCTATTTTTTAGGGCGGTACGAAGTTCGCTGGGTCAGCTAGTATAAGTATATTTATATAAATACATATTAAACATCCATGACTGGAGTACAAATGCACACAAACATCTGCCCCCACCGGGATTCGAAGCCGAGACCTCTCGAGTCGGCGACAGCCATGAAACCCGGCGTACAAACCACTCGGCCACGGAGGTCGTCAAAATAACTCTTGCTACTCACCGGCCTCTCACTGGCGGCGTCCTGTAGCTGCAGTCTTAAAGCTGACAGCTGGGTCAACTGCTGCGAAGACCGTCGTGCCTCCATCAGCTCTGCTTCCAATGCCGCACGCTGTTCCGCGTTCCTCTCTCGTTCGTCCTCCACCGTCCTCTTTATGTAATCTATCATTTCCTCTGCCAATAGGGTATTTAACAAGTTTTAGAAAATGATCTCACGTGATTGACTAATGTTTAAGGAGTCCGTAAATAGTGGATATTCATCATTCTGTTGTGTATTTCAGTAAAAATAACCAAATCAAAAACTCCATTTTCAAGTTGCCGCGAAAACGTTTCTCTGGACAATATGGCGTCTTACTAGTGTGTGACGTCACAGGACTGTTATTAAAACGTCAAACGATACAATGTAATGTCCCTTTAACCGGAAGTTTACTTGCGTGTGACGACATTTTAGGCTCCGCCAATCCCAAGCGTTTTGGGTCACGTGACAATAGATAAGAAAACTATTATCTTTTTCGAGGGTTTTTAGTAAAATTATGAATATTTTTTTGTAAATACCCTATAGGCTTGTCTTATGGGATACTAGGGTAACAGATAGAATACATTTACTGATACATATATAAGTACCTATATTTATGAATGAATACATATTAAACATCCATGACTGGAGTTTAAATGCTCGTATTCAACACACAAACATCTACCCCACCGGGATTCGAACCCAGGACCTCTCGAGGACGATACAAAAAAGTTGCATTATGCTTACCTACAAGATGAATAACGTGGACTTGACATTATCTAGGATGTAACGCAATGTATAGGTACCTACTACTTCCGATGTTATAAAAGGCTCTACGACGTATATATTCTAGATTTCTAGAACATCAACATCTATATCGACCCATCTTATTGTCGGCGCATATCCTGGTATTGTGCTGGATCAGGGCATGCTCCAGCAGTTAACGTCAATGCAACCTAATTCTAGTTCATTAACGTCTATACCGACCCATCTTATTGATAGCGCGTATCCTGTTATCGTGCTGGATCAGGGCTTGCTCCGGCAGTTCTGTCAATGCTGCGGCAATAAAATCTAATTGTTGTACATTAACGTCTACCGACCCATCTTATTGACGGCGCGTATCCTGTTATCGTGCTGGGTCAGGGCTTGCTCCAGCAGCTCCCTTTCGCGCTGTTCATGCAGCAGGCTGTTCACCGCGCTCTCCAGCCGCATCACCGTCGACAGTTGCTGGCTCTGCAACTCCTGTAAAACACAAGCCACCTAATCTATCACACCAGACAACATACGCGATTTATCAAAGGCTTTTCGAGAAAGCGTAATGTTTTAAAAATCCTCTCAGTCCTGTTTGAAACTATTTGCTCTAGTAAGTAAGTATTTGCTTTAGATTAATAAGGATAATGTCTTAAGAATATGTAAATACCATATAGATAATGGAACCGTATTCACCAGCAAGAACATTAAGTAGGCTTTTATTTTAGTGTGTATGCTATTGGTCACAGATGACCTTTACAGCGTCATCGGGTTTGCGGACGGCGAGATCCTAAGGTGGCCCCAAGCTGAGAAATGGCGAGTGCCTCTAGAGGTATTCCAGACGGATGGCATTTCCCTACGGGGGGATTCTCCAATCCGTCTGGAGCCTGTAGACCACTCGAACCTCTCTAAGACTCGGACCTCGGCTCTAATTAGCCGTTGTCGTGGGGGGCGGGGAACTAAGTATTGTCTAGGGATATATAAATACCTGCAATGCCAGCTGCACGTTAGCCAAGTCATGTTTGAACTGCGCGGCCCAGTTGGCAGCTCGCTCCGCCTCGTCATCGACCGCTGCTCGCAAGGAGACCAGGTTGGACAGGAAGTGCTGGCTCTGTTCTTCCACCAGTATAAGTTTAGAACGGAGCGTCTCCAGCTCCGTGGACTGGACGTCGCGACGGCTGGACTCTTCGGTGAGAACTAGCCTGTAAAGTGAAATCATCAGTGTATATAGGGCCCAACTAATGGTAGAGGCTTTCGAGCCGCACTTAATGTAGGCGGCTATTTTAATGTGATTTAATCTGTTCTTGGAAACGAGCATTCAATGCAAGTTGCTAACTATAAACGAGGGTGTGTTTTATAGTTTGGTTGCGAAACTGTCTGAAATCTCAAAGACAAGATTTATAGAGAAAACGGATGAGGCAGATCTGAATTCTCACTTGATTGTGGCGACTTCCTTCTCCAGAAAAGACACGCAATCATCCAGAGGCACGGACCGTGGAGACCACGTGTGCCCCGTAGGCAGCGGGTCAGGCTGCCGCGCGTATGTCGCCGATGAAGCCGGGCGAGTCTGGAAATAGGGCGGGTGTAAGACATATGGTAAAGACTTCATCTCCTGATAGGAGACGCAGTCGTCCAGGGGCACGGGGCGGGGCAAAGCATTCCTTGAGATAGCGCGGAGACAAAGGATTGAACAATATATTGTAGAGAAGTGTGAGAATGTGAGTATTCCGGCGAAGTCGAATAGATAGCCACTTGAGCTGTGATTGGAATTGAGACACATGTTCATATTTGCATAAGTAGAATATGAACCGAATGCAGAAATTTTGAAGTCGCTCAAGCTTGTTAAGCTGGTCCTCCGTGAGATCAGGATAGCCGGCGTCAGCGTAATCGAGAAGAGGAAGTAGCAGAGACTGTGCTAGGGCAATTTTGGTGGCAATAGGAAGGGGGTTCTAGCTTGTAACTGTGGTTCCCAGCTGAAACGGTTATAGACAATAGGGATGATGACTAATTTTTTTTCCTTTTATCAGGTAGATTATCAAAAAGTATTGGACACGTATTTTTTCTTTTTTCACATAATATAAACATTGCAGAGATATATTGATTTGAATAGTCGCATGACGTCACGTTTGAGTACACTTTGACGCGCTATAACTTTGGCATTTTTGGTTGATTGCCCAAAGAAAAAATACGTGTCCATTATTTTTTGATCATCTAACTGACGGACTAAATAGAATTTTGTTTACTGTACCCCGTCATCACTCCTATTATCCTTGATTTTTTAACAGAAACACTAAATGGAATATTGGTGCTAGCAAGAGTTATGTTAGGAAGTTCACTTTGGCAATCATACTGTGATGCAAGTATCGCGATAATATTAATCAGTGTAAGATACCCCATTAACAACTCTTTAGAAAGAGAGGAAGCGATGATGCACCCAATACCAACCAATACGAACTATTAGTCGCAAAATATATATTTCTCCCTCACACTTTTATATAGGTTGTTACAAAAATACAAATAAATTTAAAGGACGTTGAAGTACATCATATAAGGAGTCTTCTCTAAATAAAATATTTGCATGAAGTTTTAACTTTTTACAAAAGCAGTTATTTTTAATGATTAGTGACGTGTCTTAAAATGAACGATATTTTTATTAAGCATTAAAAATAACTGTTTTCTTTTTGAAATTTTAAACTTCAAGCAAATATTTTTAAAAAATTACAGAAGACTCCTTATATGATGTACTTCAACGCCCTTCAAGCTTTATTTGTATTTTTGTACCACCCTGTATACGACTAGTGGCCCGCCCTCGCTTCGCTTCGAGGTAGAATTGATCAAAATCCTTTCTTAGCGGATGCCTACGTCATAACGTTTACCTGCATGCCAAATTTCAGCGCGATCCGTCCAGTGGTTTGGGCTGTGAGTTGATAGATCACTATGTCAGTCAGTCACCTTTGAGTTTTATATATATATATGTGTGTTAGTACCTTCTCCATTTGCGGGCAGTCTTTGACGTGCGCCTCCCTGTGTTTGCGCTGGATCCAGGCGCCGCATCGCAGAGGACACTGCTCCAGGATGCTGCCACACTGCTTCAAATGATTCTGCAAATATCATCATATAGGTAGGTGTTTCAATAATGCGGCCTTGACGGCTGTGTCGAATTTTCTTTAGCCTTTCTTAAGCTGCAAGGCAGCGCCATCTCTTCCCATTGTAGGTAAACCACAATGTCAAATGAATGCCTTTACAAGCATTTGAAAGAAGAAATTGCAATTATACGTACCTATATTTTTTTATTTTTTAAGCATGTAACTGCTAGATGTTTAAATCTAAAGAAAATTTTACTATAAAATATTCCTATACTTATTTTCAATAAAATATTTTTATCCCTGAGTAGGGGTGGCGTCCACCCCTAGGGTTAAAGCGACTCTCGGCACATTGACAACTTTGAAGTAGAGGGAAAGTAGAACCCATAGCACATTACATACAAGAGCAGTACTCCGACTTCATACTAGCGCCCGAATCGACGCACGCACACAGACAAAAGTCATTTACACGGCCGCTAACCAATCTTGCCAAGACAAATCTACGCAGTGCCACGTCGCCCACGTCGCGCGCCGCGCCGAGACCGCCCGCGCCGTCTGGCTCCGTTACGATTCCGTAACGTGGCAATAGTAACTATACACATACAATAAAAATCTACACAATAATGTTTTACATTTTGTAGGTACCAACCCTAGCGCTCCACTCAGTCACGGTAATATTATCTATATAATATTGTGACTCCGCCCTGTCCTTGAAATAAATGCCTACGGCCGAGCGCTGCGTTAGAACGCGGTAAGGCCGCCCGCCCACAGTATTTTATGTAGTTTTGTTTTTAACGCGAGTGTAGGTAGGATACTCGTTTGTCTCTTTTTCCATCCTAACCACTTATTTATATATTATTCCAGATATTTTGCCCGATGGAAAAATCGAAATACCCAAATATTAGAAACAAATTACGTACTAGTAGATAGGTATATAAAAAATATTCTATAAAGGTAAGACACCTTTCCAATATTTCAGGTTATTTAAAAATGATATCTCTGGGTGTGTTATTGAAGAGTTCAAGCAACCAAAAACAGCAATTGTGTTGTTGTACGATATTAATCGTCGTCTGTTCTTTTCCATACTAAATTATGTAGGTATCTACTTAATTCAATCAAATATTTACAATACATATTAAGCACGGCTAACTGCATAAAAAACAATTCACACCGTTCGGTCGTCGCTGCGGGCGGCGCGGCGGCGCATTCGCGACTGGGTGCCCGCCGAGAGTGCCTCGAATTCGAGTGGCGTAGGTATGACGCTTTCCGACCGTTTGTATGAAGATAGAATACTGTATGATATTATTACCGTGACTCAGTCGTAGGTATCTATTTCAAGAAAACGGCTGAGTTACGCTATTGCTCTCAGTGTCGTCTTTGACGTATTGGGGGCCCTGGGCATGTTAGGATAATGGGACTCCTATGACCCCCGTTTGTTGATTTAAAAGGAACTAGTGTAGGAAGGCCAAAGGGGAAAATCTTCCTCCGAGCTGGATGGTGGTAGCTCGGGGGCCGCAGCCCAACTGATGTTGGTCGGACATCGTATATATGAAGAGTTAGCCTCCGAATTTCATTTGCGCGATGTAGGCTTCCATACTATTAAGATCGCAGTGCAGGTAACGCCATCTATTGAGGATGGTAAGTAATGATTTCCTACATCCGTTGTATATTTGTGGGGCATATAGATGTCGCCGCCACACTAGGGACTTTGTATTTGATCTGAGAGGGGCCCCTATCGACCGCGGGGCCCTGGGCACTTGCCCAAAGTGCCCACTGGGACAGGGGTTTGACTGCTCTTGTAAGTATTGTGCCCACAGCCTAATATTGGTGCTTATTGGTACTGTTTGTTAGAATTGCTAGGGGATAACCTGCATTGTCTGTACTATAAGGCTTGTGTTATTAAATACTAGGGTAACGGATGCAAGTCTTCAGGAGGTTTCCGACACTCTCAGCAATTAGCCTAGCCCCAAAGTAAGCACTGTTGGCTTGTCTTATGAGATACTAGGGTAAAGGATAGAATACATATACTGATACATATAAATATATAAGAATATTTATATAGAAAATAATATTAATTTGTATAAAATAGAGGAGCTCGATGGCGCAAGTGGTTAACACGTTCGGCTGCGATCGTTGCAGTTAAGCAACTTTCGCAGTGGTCTGTCATTGAATGGGTGACCACAAAGGACAATGTTAAAATTGGCCTAAGAACCAACACCAATTAGGCATTTATGATAATTCTTAGTATATTTATTGCGATAATTATAAGTATTTAGATTGTGACGGACACTTCCAGTTAAGTAAGCTAAATTAAAAAGTTAATTAATAATCTGAGACAATAAATACCATTTTATGTGTATAATCTATGGCAGCGCTGCAAACAAAACACTCTTTCTTTCTAATACCGGCACTTCACTTGGCTATTCGTATTTGCTATTTTAAAACATGACATCAGTCTGTCCTTTTCATTCCTTATAAAGCATGACAAGGACAAACTGTTGTCAAGTGAAGGGCCGGCATAAAACTCGTTACTCTGTGGTTGTGGTGCATGCAGTTTGCATTCGTAGTAATCTGTGGCATTCGTGCATTCCAAAGAGTAGTTTATTATACCGGAAAGTGCATGCTCTTTTCGGATTACCTGTTGTGTGTGTTTATTTGCGATTGTTTTTCCTTTAATTTAACTATTTCGGCTTTATAATATGCCATCGATGTTACCAAAGAGCGGAGTCCTTATTACCAAGTGCTAGTGAACCTGTGCCACAACATCCTGAGAGGATCATACTGCCAAATTATTCAAGAACACCTGATACACATTCACGCTGCATATTTACACAATATACATGTGATAAACAAATAAATACAATATGATACAGTTATGTGAAAAATAGTCAATAAATAAGAAGCAAAACTACAGTTTTTATTTTATTCATGATTCCTACCTAACCAAGTTTTTCCTAATAGTTATTCTTTAAAATCGCACCGAAGAAAATGAATTAGTTGTAATATTAATTCACTTCATCTTGAGTTCATACTAAGTTCATAGGTTGACCTATGTTTTATTGAATATTAAACATAACCTCAAAAAAGTTTTAGTTTTCCTAATAATTTAAGTTCTCAGAAGTGTCCGTCAATAATCTTTGTTCTTACAGTCATTTACTTACGATTTTGAACTTAGAAAATAATATTTCATGATTGTTGGTTCTTAGGCTAACTATGTATGGACGCTGAACAATGTCCTTTACTATCTCCAGCTCCTCCGTGCTTCGGTAGGCACGTTAAAAATATAATAATAAAAATACGAGTGCGGGATTTGAACCGACGACCGCGATGATGCGTCGAACGTTGGTACCGTGGCAAAAATTCAACACACTGCGCCGTTTAGATCAATACTGAAAATTTTGTTCTATTGGTATATGCAATCTCGTAAGGTTTTTTTCGTTACGGAATTTCTTGATTCGGTCGCCGCGCTCAAAGCCCGCCATAAAAGCTATACAATAGCTTAATAAAAAGAAAATGAAAAGACTGTAATTAAAAAAGGTACCGTATTTAAATTTTCGTAAAAAAAGATAGCGATTGATCTTCAAAAAATACAATTGCCTTACCTCACCTTTGGGTTACCAATAAAATTGCGTTTTAAGATCATTTTCATCCCACCACCTCGGAAAGTGTAATTTTGCGCTTCGAAATCTGGCTGGAAAATTCTATTTTATTCGCTTGAGCGGCAAAGTAGATTTGAATTTAGAACATCACATATAATGAGTACTCAATATAATTGTAAATTCAAAACGTCATTAAACCTATTTAATGTAACCTCTATGGTGCCAAATTTATGATTAGAACTTTTTAAATTGTGAAAAAATTTAAATTTGGAACCTTCTTGGTTTCTTTGTTTTATTTGCGTGCTTCGCGCCATTCTAGTTTTTCACGTTTTATTGCTTAATATAATTAACATAACCTAAAAACTGTACAAAAAAATCAACTAAAATGAGTGACATTAGCGACGATGAAGTTTATCTAACGCCAACTGAGTTAACTGAAACAGTTAATAATGCGCAAATGAGCCTTCTCCCTCAGCAATCACGAGAGAAGTATTTGAAACAGTACGATATATTTAACATGTGGCGACTAGCTAAAGGAGCAAAAACTTTCTCCGAAAACGTTTTGCTGGCATATTTTATAGAATTATCTGAGACCAAGAAAGCAAGCACGCTATGGAGTACGTATTCAATGCTAAAATTAACAATTAAGATGAAGAAAGACGTTCATATCGACACCTATCATAAATTAGTGGCATTTTTAAAAAGAGCCTCATCTGGTTATAAACCAAAAAAATCGAAGGTTTTCACAGCATCTGAAATTGCAAAGTTTATTAATGAAGCACCTGATTCCGTATATTTAGCGGCAAAAGTAAGTCAATACGTGTAATTTTTTGTTGTTGATAAATTGTACATAGTACTTACAATATTTTTAATTTGATTAATTTATTTACGATTATAAATACTTCTTTTGTTACAGGTTGTTCTTATTATTGGTATAACCGGAGCATGTCGAACAAATGAACTTACACTACTTAATGTCAATAACGTATCAAAATATTCTCATAATTCTGATGAATTGCTATTAATTAATGTACTAAATACCAAGACAAAAAAAGACCGCAACTTCGTTATTCGCAAGGAATATGTAAACATTGTTCAGAAATATCAAGCTTTACGTCCTTCTAACACCCCAATTGAACGATTTTTTCTACAATATCGCAACGGAAAGTGTATCCGACAACCTATGGGTCAGAATAAAATTGGCAGTATTCCACGAGAAATAGCAACTTTTCTCGGACTTTTAGAACCCCCGTTATACACCGGTCACTGTTTTAGAAGAACCTCAGCCACACTTTTGGCCGAATCAGGGGCTGATCTTCTATCGCTTAAGCGCCATGGAGGCTGGAAGTCTAATTCGGTTGTAGAGGGATACATAGAGGATTCAATCCAAAGTAAATCAAAAATTTGTAATAGTATCGTGGAGGCCATAACGCTGAAAGAACCTCTGTCAGATTCTTGGTCTCGCCCTTCTACATCTAAAATGAGCCCCCATAAGATTGGAAACAATAGCCCTCTCTCGCCAACATTTACGCCAATAGAATCCAATGAATCGGCACAACTATTTAAAATTACTGATACGAGTAGTTTACCACAAAACAGCGCACAATTCACAAACACCAACATAACATTACCTAACAAAAATATTAAACTTAACATAAGTAACTGTAGCAACGTTACATTTAATATTTCTTAATTATTTTCTACTTCTTATTATTTTCTTCAATTTATAGATTATCTTAATGTGTTTTAATTGAAATAAAAATATTTTGTCATTATAAATTGTTTTCTTTTTCATTTTGTCATTTCCTCGCTGAGGTGGGATGAAAAGTTACGTATTGCACTCGAGTGGAAAGATTTTTCACCTTGTGCTCGTTTGTTTCCCTCGCTGACGCTCAGGATTCTAATTTAGAATCACTCGCTGCGCTCGTGATTCAACTTTAGAATCCTTCGCTTGCTCGGTCATCCAAATCGAGCACGCGGTTAAAAAGGAACTTTCCACTCTTGTATAATAAATAACTATTATTATTTTTCAATGAGCATTTAAATAGTTTTCCTTAAAAAAAGTTATTTAGGTAAATATCTGTTGTTCCAGATAACTTTTGCATTTGCACAAGAATGCGTTCAGAAAATTTATCTTTCCTTAGACAGGTGAGTGTTCAGTTATATTAACCTTATCTTATTTTATCTTAACATAGTAGGTGTCAATAATGTTTTGTTGTGATAGTGGCATGCCGAGAATACCAATATACAGGTCGCGGCACGATATTAGTTCACTCGATCGTGGCAAGGCAAAAAATTCACAGATCTAGTGCTAGGCTCGTTGAAAATATATCGATGTATCGATATATCGATATTTTTTGTTCGATATATCGATATTTTTTGCCGATATATTTTGATTCGATATATCGATACATCGATACAAAATAACCAATATCGAAATTCGTATCAAAACGATATTTTTTTAATTATTAGCAGCATATCACGATCTAACTAAATTCGTATCTGGAAAAATCGTAACTGGATCTCAGATTAATGATATTCAACATATCTATGATCTGTGCTTTATTTAGTATTGTCTATGTCATCATTCGAAAATAGAGTCTATTTTTAGGGAGATAATTTTCGTTCCATTATTATTCCGCGTGTCATATTTCGTGAGCTACTGTACGATATTTTTGGGAAAATTGGTCCGATATATCGATGTTTTTTTCGCGATATATCGAAGCCGATATTGATATTTTTTAAAAGATCGATGTATCGATATTTTTTAAAAGGTCGATGTATCGATATATCGATATTTTTTTCAACTTTCGACATCCCTATCTCATTGAAAATGAATCTACCTATTATAGATTATAAAAAAAATACATCTTAAAACCCTTCAAATTCCACGTCTTTTGAACCCTCATACGTCCCCATGGCCCTAAACCTCGGGGTATTACGGGTGAGTCACAGTTTCAGCAAAAATGGGGGCCTACTAAAGCGAATGAAAATTACAACATAAAATTATCATCATCATCAGCCGATTAATGTCCCCACTGTTGGGGCACAGGCCTTCCCTATGGATGGAATAGGGAGATTGGGCCATGACCCACCACGCGGGCCCAGTGCGGATTGGTGGGTGCTGACGACTGCATATGCAGCCGGGACCAACGGCTTAACGTGCCTTCCGAAGCACGGAGGAGCTCGAGATAGTAATTTTTAGTCACCCATCCAATGACCGACCACTGCGAAAGTTGCTTAAGTTCAACGATTGCAGCCGAACGCGCTAACCACTTGCGCCATCGAGCTCCTCTAAAAATTTTGTGCGTTACCTATAGTGCGCAGGGATGGCGCTGCCTTGCAGCTTAAGAATGGCTAGAGGAATTTCGACGCATCCGTGAGGGCCGCGGTAGCATAATTGGTCAGTGCATTCGCCCGGATTGCGAAGGGTGCGGGTTCGAGTACCGCCTGCTGTCTGGTCCGGGTGGAATTTTTTCTAGTTATATTTTCTTTAGATTTAAACATTTTCAATGTTTAAATATTAATAAGTAGAACAGGCTCCTCATCGTAATCACCAACTGATGCGCTCTTTATCATCTCGGTTTTAGTGATATCTATGAAATGACTACAAAATGGTGCAGATATATTTCAAACTAGCGGTCTGCCTTCGCTTCGCTTCGGTGTAGAGCTGAAATGTAGACTACAGTTTTTGTTCTCAGGCTTGTATTATACACAATGATATTCATCTATGATTCTTCTTATACCTGCATGCAAAGTCTCAGCCCGATCGGTTTAAAATTGGCAAAGTTTCATACAAACTTTCATTCCCTATTTTATCCCCTTGGGGGTAGAATTGATCAAAATCCTTTCTTAGCGGATGCCTACGTCATAACATCTACCTGCATGCCAAATTTCAGTCCGATCCGTCCAGTGGTTTGGGCTGTGCGTTGATAGATCACTATGTCAGTCAGTCACCTTTGATTTTGATATATATAAATAGACCGCATGTAATAATGACTCTGCGCCTTGACATATTACTAAAAGCAAGGTCATCATCAGCTCCAGATTTCTGCGCATTGGTTGCACAACTGCATTCGTGTTTTGGTTCAACATAAAATTATGTGTGTCAGCATTTTCCTACTTACAAACAAAAAATAAACACCGTTCTCGCTTGACACACTTTCATATGTTGGATTCTTTAAGGTTGGCAATTTTCAACAACTATATGATCTTGCTAATCTAGCTGAAAATGCTCAAACACAATGCTCACAATAATATAAATAAGTAGTTACTATATAAAGCTAATATTCAGTTTTATGTTGGCCCAGGACTTGAAACCGGTTTCCAAGATACCGGTAAATAAAGATTAATACCGGTTTTTAGTAAAGGTTTCGTTCGGAGCGCGTCCGAAATGAAAGCGGTACCTCAAACCTTAATATATAATAAACCGGTTTAATCCAGAGCGACACGTGCACGCATCGGCATCGCTTCAAGTTTGTTTTGTTTGAACTAATCAAGCCACAACTTGTTAATGCTCAGAGATTGATGCATTTATTGACTTGCTAGCGTCTAGTGAGTCAAGTTATTCATTTTGTAGTTGTGTATTTATTTCAGCCGTGAGTAAGAGCGAAATGAAATCCTTTAAAAACCGCTAAATTGATTCAAAACCTATTTGATTACGCTTTTTAGGAAAACCGGTGTTTTTTAAGGTTAAGGTAGAGCCAAACCTAAATAAAACGCTCCTAATGTACCTACTTGACACTGATTCAGGTTTGAAAATTAACCGGTAAACAAGCCCCGAGTTGGCCCTCTTAATAAAATTAAAAAAAAAACAGCGGGCCTTACAGTAGTCGCGTATGATGTGTAACATTTGAAACCTCACCTTATATTAGTAAAAAAAGAAATAAAACCTACTACAAAAGTAATAAGCCATTTGAACATTATGTTCTAAAAGCAAATCAAATAGCGCGCGCTTTCGCGACTTCCTGTTACACACTTCCGTCCCATTTCACGAAATCACTCCTACAAATTGCAGGAAAGCGAGAGGAAAGATGTTCCACATCAAAAAACTATATATATGTGTATTGAACTGTGCTGTTTCAAGATTTCAAGAAGTATGTAATTGGAAGATCGCACCACTGCCGGATTTAGGGGAGGGCAACCGGGGCGAAAGCCCCGGGGCCTCCACAAACGGGGGGCCCCACAATAGAGTCTTCGGAAAAAAAAATCTTTCAAATTCCAACTAGTAAACACTAGTAAACATCTTTTCCTTTGATATTTTTTTTTGCTCTTTTACCTTTACCTACAGCCTACAGTACTTTGTACATCTAACATACATGATTATTCACAATAAATTATTTATTGAAAAACTCGACTGAAATTGTTTACTTTATTTGGAAAATAATTTGGGGTGAGGGGGCCTCCGCTCCTCTGTTGCCCCGAGGCCTCTGGACCTCTAAATCCGGCCCTGGATCGCAATAGGTTTCGTTAACAGTAAATTTTGGATCTAATCATGTCGGCCACCTCTGTATTAAAAGGATCCCAGGTTGCAGGAGGGATTGAACACGTGAGCTGGCAAGGAAATCCATTCGCGGATATTGCGACATAGAAAAATTATAAGTGATCGCTACCTGAAGCTGTCCCATCTCAAATAGCTCGTTGCAGAAGTAACAAGGACTGTCCTTGTCATTCTTTCTGTCTTTAGTAGCATCATTCTCGGCCGCTTTTTTAGTTAAACTCATTTTGCAACCTATTTTTTTACACAACTCGCCACTTAAATTACTCAAATTGACAACATTTCACGTTCGAAAAACTCACAAACTATTCTCACTAAAATAGCTTCACAGTTTCAGTTTTATTTCAAATTAATTGTTTACAGCACTTGAAATTTGTTTACCGAATATTTCACATTTATTTGTAGATCTTCTTCTCGCGTTTTAAAGGGAAATCATTGCTTTGTATCGCTCCAACGATACCTATGGTTTTAAGGTGATAAATGTGACTGAATCATATCTGCTGTTATCTGGTGGAGTCATTGATACCTGATACGGGGCGTTGCTGATAAGGGACTCGCTAATACCGAGCTGACTAGTTTTGTAAATATTTGGAGTATTGCGGTCTATTTATTGACAACCTGGTAGTGGTGACTCTGCTTTCATGGCCTTGGCTTTCCATCACCATGCGTTACGCGCGAACTCTCGAGTAAGCGACCCGACTTAATTTAACCCTCAAAACCACACTTCCTTCGCATTTTGTTTGGCGTTCGGACGTCAGATGGCGCTGGCTGAAAATCAGCGCTGCTGTGGTATCGCGAAAGTACAGTACAGTCAGTGTTGCCAGGTCTCCAGATTTTACAGGAGATCTCCTGTTTTTCTGAAATTTCTCCTGTTCTACTGTTTTTCTACATGAATCTCCTGTTTTTTAGAATACGATTTTCTTTTTTAAATTGCATGTTGAGTTGCATTTTCGGCCATTAATAATGTAGGTAAACTTATTAATTTTAAAATAAATGTTTTTGTCTAAATAAAACTAGCTTTACGTGGCGGTAGAAGCCACAAAAACACATTCGTTACTGATCTTTATCTTGATTTGATTTCCCAATTCCTGGGGGGGGGGGGGGGGGGGGGGTTTGCAAATCGAAAAAACTACGCCTCTGCATCTACTGTTTTTCTTGTAGCTCTTTCTATACATCTACTGTTTTTTTTCTATAACACCTCCCGATTTTTAAAAAAACGGACCTGGCAACGCTGCCCTGCACAGCAACACCAGCAGATTTGTTTAGTTGTTTTTTGTTTATTATTTCTTTGTTGTTATGTTCTTTCAAATCTGTTTTGTTTTCAATGTATGTATGCTGTGCAACCAATAAATGTTAGAGACTTGCAGACTTGTTAAAAACTTCCCATGAAGGGTAACACGCTCTACAAATATAATGTTGACAACCTGCCGTCGCTTTATCATATCCCGTTTCGGTGGTCATGCTAGAGGGGCTGGTAGAGGTAAATCTGGATGGTTGGCCTTGGAGTTCCAGCACCATGCGTTACGCGCGTTCTTTTTCCTTGTACCAGCCAGATCTAGAACGAATTTCCCTCAGCGGTTTTCCATCTTAGCCATGATATGAGGGTCTTCAAAAGGCAGGTACTAGGCTCGTTGAAAATATATCGATGTATCGATATATCGATATTTTTTGTTCGATATATCGATATTTTTTGCCGATATATTTTGATTCGATATATCGATCCATCGATACAAAATAACCAATATCGAAATTCGTATCAAAAACGATATTTTTTTAATTATTAGCGGCATATCACGATCTAACTAAATTCGTATCTGGAAAAATCGTAACTGGATCTCAGATTAATGATATACAACATATATATGATCTGTGCGGTATTTAGTATTGTCTATGTCATCATTCGAAAATAGGGTCTATTTTTAGGGAGATAATTTTCGTTCCATTATTATTCCGCGTGTCATATTTCGTGAGCGACATTTTTGGGAAAATTGGTCCGATATATCGATGTTTTTTTCGCGATATATCGAAGCCGATATTGATATTTTTTAAAATATCGATGTATCGATATATCGATATTTTTTTCAACTTTCGACATCCCTAGCAGGTACATCTCTTCCTTCAGAGCTGGCAACGCAGGAGTACCCTTGGTGCTGCAAGTGTCCATAGGCTGATGTAACAACTTCCCATCAGGTGGATTGCTGGCCCGTTTACCAGCATTAGGTGTGAGCGTTCTAAAGACGAACCGGTTTCAAGGACCGTTTTGTGTTCCGCGACGATAGAACCGTTTTACGTTTCGGATCAAAACAGTCTTCGTCGAACAACTAGTCCTCGGATTGTCTGCACGCCAATATGTACTTTATGATGAAGTAAATACAGTGTATAATAGAACGTAATGATATGACGCCGTTTCGTTCTATGATAATTAAGCTTTGATTTTATAATAATATAATCTTTATTATTGAACATTTAAAGTCGATTATCGTATAACACAACATTTATTTCGATGTTTCGTCGTCTCGTTCGCAGCAACGAAACGAACGTTAACAAGATTTCATTTAGTTCAGTTTCGTTGCGTTACATTCGTTCGACCGTCGCGTGTGGTTTCGTTGCGTCACCCGGCCGCAACTAAAACCAGTTGCGAACGAGAACCGTTTCGAGGACCAGTTTTCGTTTAACAAAAAACGGTTGCGTTTCGTCGTCAGAATATTTGAGAACGACCCACCGCTAACCAGCGTAAACATGTAAAATAAACGGCTGTACAAATCTCTAAAATCTTTAAAAGGTGCAAGGATGATAAAAATTAACCACCGTTCAAATTCAAAGGAATAAATGTATTCGAAAAGAAAATTTATTTTCTAAGGCTTATATAATCAGCAAAAAATCTCAACATCGCCATTCACACTTCACACTATACAAACTGATGGCGCCATCTAGTGACAGTTGACAACAACACTTTCACATTATCTATTATCTTTAATCTTTACACGTACAATAATTAAACTCAAACTCATTTATTCGGTCTAGGCCTTTACAAGCTCTTGTGAAAGTCAAACGCTACGTCATCGGTTCGTAAATCTACGGCGGGAGACCTTATATTATACTGAGAAGAACCGGCAAGAAACTCAGCAAGGAATTATCTGGCCTATTGTTGATCGAAACTCGGGAAGCGGTATTTAAGTTTCTCTATCAGTCTCGTCACCATTTTTTTCCTTCGCATTTTTGTTTTATGGTGCTTTTGTTAAAAAAAATATTATCTATACTTATAATAAATCTGTAGAGTGGTCAATTCTGTACATGAAATATATTTTCAAAATAACTAATCAGGGGGTGATTAGTGATCGATACTGATGCCAAAAATGCAATCAGTAAAATTTTTGTCTGTCTGTCTGTCTGTCTGTCTGTCTGTCTGTCTGTGTGTATGTTCCTTATAGAAACAAAACTACTCGACGGATTTTAACCAAACTTGGTACAATTATTCTTCATACTCCTGGGCAGGTTATAGTATACTTTTCATCACGCTACAACCAATAGCAGCAGAGTAGTGAAGGGAAATGTTGAGAAAACGGGAGAAGTTACTCCATTTTTAAGCTTCCGTCGCGTGTGCAGCCTTAATGGTTAAAGTTACATAGAAATCATGTATGGCGAAAATATTCTACATAAAATTGTCTAAAAAATATCCCGCAACAGCATATGTCTATCTTTTATGGTTGACTCACAATAACACGTGTAATTATATAAATAAAGTCATTGTTTATAGCACAAGCCTGAGAACAAAAACTATAGTTTACACTACAGCTCTACACCGAAGCGAAGCGAGGGCGGGCCACTAGTTATAAATAAATAAATAACAGGCACTAATTTTTAATTAGAACATAAAATGAAACTCCAAAATTATAGATAATCCAAATGTTTACTCTTCCTGTATGTATTGTAGCAACTTATAGTCTTGAATGTAAATATAATTAGCAAGTAGTACTTAAAAAGTAGTAAAATTGTATTATTAATTAACAGTGGTGACAATTATAATCTTGTGATAGAAAAGAAATGGTTGAACAATGAAAAACGGTAAAAAATAAAGTAGGTAACTCCACAATTTAATTTAATACGTCAAGATTAGACGCCGCCCGCTTGAATATATTGTCGCAATACATATGTCCTGTGACATTGCTATGAATTTCCTTCAGAAACCTTAACACTAATTTTTATCCATCTAACTATAAATAAAATAAATAAATATTTCCAACACACACCAATTAGCCTAGCCCCAAAGTAAGCATTGTAAGGCTTGTGTTATGGGATACTAGGGTAACGGATAGAATACATATACAGTACATATATAAGTATATTTCTATAGATATACATATTAAAGACCCATGACTGGAGTAGTAATGCTCGTATTCATCACACAAAACATCTGCCCCCACGGGAATTCGAACCCGGGACCTCTCGAGTCGGCGCGACACAATGAAACCCGGCGTACAAACCACTCGGCCACGGAGGTCGTCAAATTATTATGTACTTGTTGTCTGCACTTCACACGTTAGCAGCAGATTTAGCATATTGGCGATGCCATTTTATAATAGTAGGCGCAATCATTCGATTTCTTTCATTGTTTAAATTATTTTGATATCAAAGTTTTGAAACAGGAAGTTCCTTCTTACCCGGGCTTAGCTGGGGTGATATACTGGAAGCGATGAGTGATGGATCGCGGCTGTTGAGCAGTGTTACCAACCCTTACCGAAAATTTCCACTAAGTATTTTTCAAATTCCCCTAAAATCACCTAAATATAGATTTTACATGTACTTACTTATTACCTAAATTCTTTCGTTGCTCATAAATTAAAACGTTTCTTATTTAGTTACAGTAAATTATTTTATTGAATGAATGACAAAAATGAATGGTGAGTATGACGTGAACGCATGAAAGAACGAACATGATTGTTATGTTGTTGTTTTATTATTTAACCATTAGTGATAGGCAAATAACTTTAATCCATACAGCATTAGGCCACACAGTCTGTTCAGTCGTTTCATATCGTAGTGCGTTCCATTCTACGCACAAAACTGAAAGGAAACACACGTTTTGTTTTTCGATTTAATTGCAAGTTTTGTTAAAAGCCCCTAAAAGAATCCCCAAAAAATTCCTGCCCCTAAAAAAGTCCGTTTTAACACATCCAGCCCCTAAATCTGGGGGCAAAACCCCTAATTTGGGAACCGTGCTGTTGAGAGATGGACTGGGAGTCGTGAATGATGGACCGGGAGCAGGGGTGATGGCCTTGGAGCGGGGGTGATGAATGATGGACTGGGAGTAATAATAATAATAAGATTTATTGACCAAAAAAATCAGTACAGTAAGATTACGTAACAAACTTAGCACTAGTCATACAGAAAGTATAATTTATTAGCCTCTGCTGCTGAACTAGGCAATGCCTGTATTTAAGCATTCAGCGCCATAAACCCCCACAGACTTGAGAATAC